ATATATATATATCCGAAAAATGCGTCAAAGCTATCAGAAAACGCAACGTCTACTACAGGGAACGAAGACAGTCAGAACTCAGTAAATTTCGGCACACACCAATGGCTGATCTCCAGGAGAAGAGCGCCTTCAGCATTCCCCATGTCACTCCCCTCCACCTCAAGCAACCCCTTCCGTGATCCGTACACGACGCACTCCACGCCCGTCTCCTCCCACAAACAACAGATTTACCAGCGTGTTAAAGAAGAGACCTATTGGTCTTTGCCCAAAAGATTCAGAATCCCGTCTTGGTTGATGTCATGGTAGACTATACACACACACGCACACAGGACTGCGAGGCGAACTGATGGATGCAGCACCGGCAGAAAAAAGAGAAAAGACGTTAATGTGACCCCCCAAAATGGTATATTTATACGGTTTTCGTCTTGTCCTATTCATCTGCTGCTGCCGTTTCTGCTGATCTCCGTCGCTCCGTCTTCCTGTCCCTTCGCCTCTTTCCTTTCCATCATTCCCAGAACACTTCCACGCTGCCTCTCTTTACGGAACTGCAGAGGGGGCACCCCTCGAGGAAGGACGCGCAGGGCGCGCAGCAGCAGAGGTGGCTGCAGGGGAGCAGCACCACGCACGCATCACGATGCCCGCAGACCCTGCAGCGGCCCAGCGTTGTTGAGCTCATCCCCGCCGTCGGTTCCGGTGCCGCCGCCTCTTCCGTCGGGACGCCGTTGGTGGTGGAGAAGCATGGTTCTCGCACTTGCTCCAGAGTGTTGTGGAGAGAAATAGCCATGGCCTCGTTCTCCATGGCCACAATTTGCCACCTTGCCCGGTCCTCCTCCGCGCTCTTCAGGCGCAACTCCAGTTCCAGACCTACCTTGTTCGCCTTCGCCAACTCTTCTTCCCGTTGTCTTAAAAGGAAGGAGGCTTTGGACTGGAGACTCCGTACCATAGCCGCCGTATGCCGCTTTGCCTGTTGCCGAAGCTCTGCTACTAACGTGTCGCTCTTTCCAGAAACAGTAGATACATCAGCGGCCATCGAAGAAGACGAATAAAAACGATCTTTCTAATCGTTCTTTGCGCAAAAAAATTGATCTTGAGCGAAAGCGTACCCGTTGCCGAAGGAACTGATCTATCTCATCCCCCTGTTTCTCCAGAAGTCTCTGTATAAGATGACGAGAAGGATCCATGGAAACAGAAGGACCTGAAGTCCAAGAGGAAAGCAAAGTAAACCCTGTCGTCGACGTTGCAGGAGGAGGACAAAGAGGCCAAGGCATCATCGCCATTTGTTGTTGCTGCTGCTGCTGCTGCTGAAAAGATTGGCATGGATCACCAGGCAATCGTCCTCCGCCTTCCATCATCCCGTCCAAACTGCTGCCGCTGCTGTAGAAGAACGGAAGCGGCGCTTGGATGGCCATGAAATATAAGGGAGAGACCGACGCTGAATCAACGCAAGAGTTGGTGGTGCAGAAGCGATGAGGTGCTTCCCCCTCTCTGGACTCTGATACACTTATTCTCCTCCTCGAAACTTCATGTAAAGGTAACGGGATAAGCCTGATATCTCCTAGCAACAACACGCGTCGACGTAATGGAAGGAAAGAAGTGGCGGAGGACGGAAAGCCGCCGCCTCCTGATCTTTTCCTCAAACCGCGAGATTTGGCTTCCTCAGTACATCAAACCTTGCTATATCTCACAGATATATTGATTGCGACGTGGGGGGAAGGAAGGAGACTCTCTTACATAGGCCTGGAAGCCAATTAATATCCGCAAGTAATGGCAAGATTTACATGGGGAAAGGTTACAAAGACTGGACTATGGGGAGCCGTGGGTTTCTCCTTCGGATTCGCTCGCCTCTCTGACTTCAATACGGCATTTAAAAGGCTGAGCTCACCGTACACGCCGAATCCCTGATCTCTTTACCTACATGCGTATTAAATGGACTCATTCAATGGATTGGGAAGGGGAGGTTTCCTTTCTTTTTTTGTCTTTTCCTTCCTCTCTCCACGTTCCATGTGAAGTCGTGCATGGCGGTGTGCAGCCGGAAACATCCAACGTGGGGTGTTTGGGTAATTATGGTTGTGGCGTCGTTTTATGTTGGGTCGATTCTGTACACGCGGACTTTGCTTCGGATGGGTGGTCTGGATTTGCGATTGCTCATATATTTTATGTCATCCATATGATAACTATTTCTATTACGGATCCTAATTCAACTCGACCTCGCTAATCTCTCTTCAGTTTGTACCACAGTTTTATTTGACTTGATGTTACAAGAATAGTCACAGTTCTATCCACTTATGTACTGTCACAGCCTTTTAATAGCTAGCTAACCTTTGCTTAACATAATCCCAGAAAAAAGCTAATGATATCGATAAATTTTATTCATACATGCATGATAGAAAGCTATGATCCATTGGCCGAACCACTGAATAAAGTACAAAACAGGCTTACGAGGACAACATATCTATCCAACTTAGTTTCGACTCCCTTATGGGCGGAAGAAGCGGCTCACCCCACTTTTCCGACGTACTTAGCCGTATCTGAGACTTCGGGGTGGCATGTGAGATGGCCTTCCTAAAAGGCATTCATGCAGGCCACGTGAAACAAAGAGGGGGGTGTTTGCTCTCTTTCTTTTTCTTGACCGACTTGCCTTTATCATCAAGGGAGGAGGATACTTCGCCTGGGTTTGTTTAGTACCTCAGTTGATGCTCGTCAGTAGCTTTCGCTGAGCAGACCTACAAATGGTCTCCTTGACCATCGGTCCAGCCTTCCCTGGAGAACAACTCACCCAACTTCTGTATGCAACTCCATACCGTGAGAGAGATTCTTCCGCTTGCGAATAATATTCTGAAGGGCGTGTACTTGCTTTGTGGTTGCGAGCCAGCTTCCTGTACCCAGCTATTCAATGGTTCTTGGTGATCTCAATCTCTAGTAGTGGTAAACGCTGATATTGTGCACCTACTTCGATGGACTGTGGATTTGGTGGATGGATAGATGCGTGGAGGTGAGGAATCATCGAACGAGCTGAGTTTGTTTCTTTCTGCATCTGTGTCTCACATGCAGTGTAAAACGTGAGGCTCAGAGATCCGAGAGTCGCCTCGTGCTGATATCTTGACGCAGATCATCGCCGTCTTGGATCACAAACCCTATTGTATGTGGTAGTAGTAGCAGCAGGCAGAGTTTGCTGATTAGAGGTTCTCGTGAAGTATACGTTTTGCTATTGTTACCGTACCTTCATTTAAGTTCTTAAAAGAAATGTAATCGTCATAAAATTAACATGAGCAGTAGTATGAATCATCGGTAGGATGTCCGCAGTTGTCACTGCTTCTTCCTTGATCTCCAGCATCATTCGGAACTCTTCGTCATCATCTCTTCCCTTCAGCTTCATCCCTGCCGAGGGGTGAATTCGTATGCTGCATGATCTCTTGTCGTACCTGTTCGTATGGAGGAAACATGAAAGCAGATCACAACAAGATGGCCACATAATCGATGTTTGCTGCAATTATGCAATCGAATCATTGCTTGCTTCGTTGCTCCACCAATTTTGTCATCATCCATCCAGCCTATATTTTTGGCACGCCCATGCCATGCTCGACTGTCCTATCCATTCTATATAGTTATTTAGATGGATAGGAAGAAACTTTGGAAATCCAAAAATTACATAGTTATTTAGATTTTAGTAAATGAAAAGATCTTTGATATCTACCTAAATCTAAATTGTTCGACTCGACAATATAGAGCCCTAAAACCTTAGTTTGGTTATGACCTTTTATAGCTTAAATATACTGCAAGAAATTAAGGATAAATTAGATTGATTTGGCAATAAAATTATTTCAGAAAAGAGAACAGAAAAAGCAAAAGCATAAATAAACCAAACTCCAGAATGTTCACAAGTATGACCTTAATAAATAAACCATACAAATATGGATTATTATTAAATGAAACTAGATTGATATTCCTGTCTGGCAGAGAAACGACCTCAATACATAAACCATACAAATCGAGATTATTCTTAAATGAAACAAGATTGATATTCCTGTCTGGCAGAGAAACAATAAGATCTCCCCATTAAGTCTCTCAATTTATACCTGGCAAACTGTTTTCCAAAACTGGTTTTGGCTTCTGTAAAACATAATCATAAAGAAAAAAAAAAACTACTGCAAGGAAGGACTGAAAAGAATTCTGTGCTTTCCCTTAACAAAATCAGTTGGCAATAAACCAATTTGCATATTAGGCTGCAATCCTTGATGACTCTCCAACAGCAATTTCCATTCTTTGGTACCATTCACCAATCTTAGTGTTATCCACCATATCTTTACCAGCCTTCAGATATCTAATTGGCCTCAGCACACCATAGACAGCAAGATCTGCTAAGTTGGGTTTTGCACCACCTGAAGGAAAATCAAGAAAAAATTTGTTTATAGAGGCTAGTAATGAAGCAAATAAACAAAATAACTTTCATATCAATCCTCAAGTTTGAGGCTTGGGTACCAAGAAAATCTCTGCCATCAAGTGCTGTGGTCCATGTTTGTGCAGCTTCATACAACGCAGCACGCTCGTCGGTGATGTTGTATTTCTTCTTCAGCTTCTTGGACACCATGTACATGATTGCCGCTCCGGCATATTTCACGGTGAACCGCTCTGTCATGCTAAAGTTTCCTGCAATCACAGGTAGTTTTACATGTGACGTTGACGTTCCAATGCCTAGCTGAGCTTGCTAAAAAAGTTTTTGTGAAGGAATTATCAGGCAGCTGATAAGTTTATCTGAAAGTATTTGGGTTTATAAATGTTTAAAAGATCCTACAGAAGTAAAAAATAGTCATCTGAGGATTTTTATGAGTTGTACCAGAAAAGAAGTGATAGCTAGACCATAAATTTTCCCACAGAAGCATGTCAACCTTCAGAGTGTTCACAATCGAGTAACAACACACTAGTAACAAAAGATGTTCTGAAATATTCTGACAATTGAGTAACAACACACTAGTAACAAAATATGTTCTGAAATATTCTGGCAATAGTTAATTCAAATAAGGATATCCACTCAGCTCAGAAATCAACCACCAATGGCAATAGTTAATTCTCAGGCAGCACAACCGTCTCACACTAGAAAGTTGTCTATTTTGTACTATAATTTTATGACAGATTGATACTTATACGACAAAATTTATACTCAACCACATCTGAAGCAACCTCATGATCGCAACTGAAATTAAAAGGGTTCTAATCACAATGTCAAAGACAATTATTTGCAGAATGACAAATACACACAACAAAAGAGAAAAAAAAAATTGTTGATTATAAAATGCAGATCATTGAGACACTTCATAATGTCATTTAGTATATAAATGTAAATGTTTATGATTTTCCCATTTAGCTGCTATCATAACAGGGACATCTATAAAGATTTGCATTACTGAACAATGATATCAGTAGTTCTACAACTGGCCAAATTCAAACAGTTACAGTAAAAAATGATAGTTATCATAGTGAGGGAAAGAAGGCAAACGATCAAGCCAACTGGAAAACAATGTACTTAGTAGAAAGAAAACTGGATTTACTGATAAAAGAAGAGAAACACAGGCTGGAGGTGAGGGTCTGGAATACATCAGGATTTCTTTTAAAACTGGTTTGCCTATATAAAAGTCTACCAGTGCTCTTCCACATGCTATATAATACTGTAACACTAATGTCAATCTTGTGAGTCTCACAGAATATGAGAATTTGCCCTTTAACAACCAGATTATCTTAAGCATTTTCTTTGAACATATAACAATTCTTCTTGGAGTGATTTGATCCTTAATAAAAAAATGAAAAATGGAATTAAAAGGGTTTGCTTTGACCATCAAGAGAACAAACCATGCTTGGCTATGTAATCAAAGGATTCCAGCGCCTCAGAAGTAGTTCTGTATATATTTGGTGACAACATATGCACCAGGTGATCATCAACCCACCTACAATGAACCAAAATGTATCAAGAGCAGATTCCTTTGAGAAAATGCTGGTATCATGGCATCAGCATCACATCCCACTACTAGAACTCAAACTTAACTTGTATGATAAAATAACATATGTTTTTTATTAAAGCAACTTGAAAATCTCAATATGTGCATAACCACCAGTCTCTGTGTATCTTGTTTTAAATGCAAAGAGCTTCTAGTGCTAGCATAATATAATAAAAATTGTCAGTGCATAAATTTTAAAATATATCAAAGATTATGAACAAGCTGGGGTACTGAATATAGCAGAAAAATCAAATAATGAAACATTTAATTTATTGTTTTAAGTGAGATTTTAATATGGTACAAATTTGGGTCATATCTGCTGCATTAGAGTCTCTCAACTATATAAATATTTCCAGTGTTTTCTTCCGAACAATGTTCTCAATTTACAGTTGATGGTTGAATAGACTTACTTTTACTTCAAAAAAAAAGTACTAATTCAAACACTACAAATGCACATCCATATTTTTCTAGCATGTAAAGCAATGTTCTTAAAATATGATCTAACCAACAGCTCTCGGAAAAAGCATACCTAAGCCATTTTGTCTCCTCCTCATCAATGACGGAATTCTCAGGACGGAACCTCTGGCTTAATTTTTTAACTATATCTGCAAACAGGAACCAAACGTTGACAAGCTGGTAAGAAATCTTGTAAAGAATTTTTATGTACTGGCCACCTATCATATCTCTAAGCATTAAATCAGACGATTCAAATATCTTTGCTTAAAACAATACGAAATCAATAGAACCTGATGACTCAATTAGCTGTTCTCCATCCACAACCAGTATGGGAACCTTCTTATAATCAGACCACTTGATCTCCTTCTTACTGAGAGGGTTGACCTCTACAACTTTGTATGGTACATCATGATAGTCCAAAAAAGCTGGAAGAACATGAGAACCATAGTTAAAAAGATAAATATACACACTGCTAGAAAATAATCAATTGTAATTTCTTAGTCAAATATCCTTGAACCTTCAAGGACATCAATACTACATGCTTGCATGAAACTGAACCAAAACTAGAACCGGCCATTGAGTGAATAAAATAACCTAGAAACCGGAATTGGTAAATTGAGTACAACCATGAATATATAACCAACAAGTTCTCGCCTACAGGGCTGCTAGTGGTATGGCACATGCTTGTCATTGAAGAGATCTTCGACTTCAAAAATTCCATGAAAGGTGCATGAGAAAAGAGAAACAGCCTATCCTTTCTTTAAAGTTTTAGCGAACACTTGGTAAGAATAGGTTGATGAAAGAAACTTAGATGTGCCAATTAGCAAAGTTAGCATATCAAGATGATTAACTTGATACCCTAATAGTACTGTGTTCATCCCCCAGTCAAAAACTCCTTCAACATCATGTATGACCAATGATATCTACACGAATTGTATTTTAAGTCCCCTGTCAACTGTATTAGCTTTTTTAGGTCCTCCATGAAAGAAGCAGCATGTATGTAATCCAAAGAATTGAATTACCAATTTTTCCTCCTAATCCTGTATATACATCATTGGTCGTGGCTAATTTTTCTGCTACGTAATCTTGCTCATCGCCTAATGCAAAGTACGATCACTTCAACCGAATAACTCACGGAACGCATTGTACTCAAAGTCGAACCGGAAGTTGCATCGGTAAATCAATAAATTAAAAGATACGCAGCACATCTTGTCGGCTAATTCCTTCAAATCCATAATAAAGCAAGCGTCGGCCAAGAATCCAACACAAAGGACTCACCTTTGACCTTGTTACAGAAGGGGCAGGCCTCGTACTGGTAGAGGACGACATCCTTGGGGATCAGCTCGGGGGACGGAGGCTCCTTCGCCTCGGCCGCCGTCACAAGAGTCAAGGAGAAGGAGAGAGCTCCGGCCAGGCCGACAGAGACGGACCTCGAAGGCGCAACCGGGAGAGAGAACAACCGCCATCTCGGCCTCGGAGAGGTCGCAACATCAGAGGCGGTGCCGCAGGAAGATGCAATTGGGACCGTCCGCTGGGCGGTGGCGGCGGCGGCGGCGGCGTAGGAGGAGAAGGGGGGAGGAGCAAGGTTGCGGCGGAGAAGGGATCGAGCGATGAGACCGTGAGCAACCCTTCCCATTGGTTCTCTCCCGTTGCGATCCGACCCTTTCAAGAACAGATCTCTCTCTCTCTCTCTCTCTATTAGGGCAAATACTAACCGGCGGCAGACGAGACGGGAATCCTTGGGGAAGAATCCACGAGAGAAAGGGTGACTTCGAGAGGGTTTTTGTTCTGGTGGTCCGCCGCAACATACACGTAGGAAATATATATGACCCAACGCAACGTCGAGCCTGATTTGGTCTGGAGTCTTCACATGAATTAGGATCACTTTTCCGGGGAGATTCGGATAGCGGAGCATGATAGCCAAAGTTGCTCTCTCACCCACGAAAACAGGACACCGTTGCGGCTGGGTTTGGAACACCTCGATCCAAAACCCACCGCACTTGGATCGCCTTCACCTCCCACATATCTCTGTTCCTCGGATGGATCTCATACCATACTCACAAGCACAGACCAACACGTTTACTACAACCAAATCAGTATTTGATACATATGATTTTTTAAAAAAATAAAAATAATATTTAACTTGAAATACACTTGGAAGCAATGCATACTTCATAAATGTGCACAAGACTTTAATATGTTGCTTTACCAATATGATTATTTATAAAGATAGATACTCAAGGTTGACTTATATTTCTCCCGATTAAGCCCAACCCTTTGATACAGCCTTCTAAATATGATCCATTATACTCAATAGTTAAGTACAAAACAATGTTTTGACTTTTTCGCTAGTCAAATCGGATTAACGAGTACATGTTTCCGCCTTCAGTCTCCCTCTTCCCTAAGTCGATGATACTTACCGTGGCTTCTCGTAAGCGTACGTATGTGAGCAATGGTGAGCTCGTTTGGAACATGCATGGGAATCAACAATTATGGCAACTTCGATAATGCTGGTTCGATTATTTTTTCCATGCTAACCGGAAATCGAAGGTGTTGAATGGTCAACTTTACACTTTTGGTCAAAGGCCTGAGGGTTGCAAGATTCCCTTCCCATCGTGTCATGGCAGTGCCGTATAGCAGAACTTTAGCGGTGCCAAGCCCGTACGCAAACCTCGGAGCGGAGTGGCGGTGACGCTGGATATCCAGCTGACATGCAGTGCTCGTGATGGAGCCCAAGTGGCCCGCACCGCTACAAGCCAAATGCCCGGCATGCAACAAAGCTTTTCCCGGCCGGCAACCGACAGTCTCCGGCCCTCCCTCTTATTTGGAGAGTCACTTCACCCCCACACTGCTAAGCAAGCGATGCTGGCTGCCTTCTATGATAAGGGTCGTCATCTAACCATGCAAATCTGGCTGAAAACAGTCTTACGCCATGGTAAAACTACCTGGTAACCCAATCCTACCTTGTTAGAGAGAGAGAGAGAGAGAGAGAGAGAGAGAATGTGGGATGTGATTGATTAGCGGGAAAAAAAGGAGCTCAGTGATAGGCTACCCATCAGATGCTTCAGTTCAAGATGTCTAAAGGGGCATGTACAGTTTCTGCATAACAGAGCTCCTACACCTATTTTGTTTCAGTGAAAAGGAAAAGCGAGGAGGGCAAGATACACGTAATAGATCGAAGGAAACAGGGGAATGAGAGTGGTGGAGAGAGATCCTCTGCTGCAGCCAAATGTTCTCCTTCTCTTCCATTCTGCCTCAAAATGGCGGTGTGGAGCTCCTTTGGAGTGTGTTTCTTTTGGGTAGCTGGGTAGCCATTGCCAAACGAAGCTGCAGCTGCCCCGTAGTACAACAATCAACAACACATAAAAGAAAGGTCATCTTAAAACCCCGAAAGAATGAAAACATCAGGAACGCCAAGATCATCTCTAACAAATAAGTCTACCTCCTCATTTTGCCTCTTTAGTTTGGCATTCTCCTCCTTTAGATGGGAAACTTCCAGCTCTAGCTGAATGGTATACGCCTGCACCGGATTGATCATGAAAGAATGCAAATGAAGACTTAAGCCAAGCCATATAAACCGTCGAAGAGAAAGATGGATGTGCCTGTTTCCTTGCGCGTGATCGGGCGGCAGATTCCCGGTTCTTGATCAGTCTCTTATGCTTGCGATCAATGCCGATGGCGAGGCTTTCCCTCATCATCTTTCTGTTGGAGCAGCACGAGAAGAGCCCAGTGGGCGAGAATGCGGATGAGTACCGGCCATTGGAATTGCTAGCATTGGAGCGGGAGTTGGCATCAACTACAAGGTGCTGGAACTCCAAACCCGAGTTCAAATTGAGGACTGTTTGAGGGTGGGCAGGAGGGGATGGAGGAGGTGGCACCGGTAGCTCTTCGACGGCAGGTGGAGAGATGGTGAGGGGCCTGTTCAATGGCCCGGCAGGGAAGTCCTGTAGGATCATGCCCCTGAAGGAAGGTGAAGAGGTCGGGTGGTCGTGGCGGTAGCAGTCCACAGGCGTCATGGGCTTGTCTTGGTAGAGGCTGTTGAGAGTCACATTCTTCCACACCTCCTCCATGGTCCTCCTGCTTGGTATCTGGGGAATGAGGACGGAAGAGTTGGACGAAGGGGGAGGGTCTTGTCGAAGACGATGATACTACCCCTTGGAGCTACTGCTACTGTAATGGTCGATTTTGCTGTTGGTCTCATGACTGTGTAGGGAAGAAGATACTGTAGGTCGTGAGGGAAGGAGAAGAAAAAGGTTTCTCATGCTAGCTCTGGGGTCAAGAAGAGAGGGATGAAACGAGGCTCTGCCATCAATTGCGCCGTAATGCATTCTTCTTCTCTTAACAACAACAGAATTGAAATCCGTACAAAAGTACACATATGGACCTCCTTTCGATTCATGGTATACAAGACATCTTCCGATTAGATCTCTTTTATGAGAGTCAAAAACAAGAAATGCACAGAGAAAAATTATACTTACCTGAGATCCCAGATACAGCCACCAAACATGTACTCTGTTGGCTTTTCTTTTTGTTGAGCTCGCTTACGGGCTCCTTTGTCCTTTGGGGAGGAAACAATGGGGCACAAGTTTGTCCTTTGACATGATATGAAGCCGACTTTGATGATATATCTTTGCGTTCATCATACTTTTCTTTGCTTTATATTACAGTTTTATGGTATAAGCAAAGCAAAAGGGCAGTGTGATGTTTGATATGATATGAAAGGAGTGATAATTGATGGAGTTCTTGTTTCACTGTGGTGATGAGAACCTGGGGCCAAAAGTGGCTAAAGAGCCAAATGATCCCTCTTGAGGATGCGACGAACCTCTGTAGTGATTTGTACTGTGCCAGATCGGAAAGAAATATGCGAGTATAAACGAAGCCAATAGTGAGTACGGGCTAATTATGTTGCACTGTAGCTAATTATCCTAAATATTTTTTAATTTTATATTTTAAAATTATATTGACATCATTATAACTATAAAAATAAAACATCTAAATCTATTTATCATAATATTATCAATTTTATAAATAAAAATATGAAAGAATTTTTTTTTAATATTTCAGTTGATAATCATAGACGACAATATTACTATAAGCCACAGATGATTATAGTGGATGAGAAGAGCGATAGCAAGAGATGAGAATCGCTTGACAATTGTATCGATACATTTTTGTCGCTCGACAACTGCGTCGATATCGACACAAGTACAGAATGACTCTTACCTCTTGTCGTCATTATCTTCATCCACTATAATCATCGGTGGCCTCAACGGTGTCATCGTCCATCACAACTAATTAAAATGTACTTTTTTATTATAAAAATAATAATATTTTTAATATAATTTTTTTAAATATAAGAATCAGTATACTAAAAATAATTAATCATAATATAATATATAATTAACTCGTTATGCATCGACTCAAACTGTGCCGGAGCAGCAGTATACAGGCACCTTTCTTCTGAAATAGTTATTTGGATCTCATCTGCTCCTTCTCATCGCACGCTCTGCCCTTTTGCCAGCACTTCTCAGGTTTCGAAGTTGGATCGCTCTCAGAACAGATGAGGAAGAGGCCGTGTTTTCGTTGAAAGGGAGGAGTTGGCGTAGTAGCAGTCGAGAAAGAAGACACTGCATCTTGCATGGAGACATCCTGAAGTAAATTGCCGATCTCCTCCAGCAGCATATGGAGTTTCCAAGGTAGGAGCTGTAAGAAGTGGGAAGGCACCAAGTTTCAACTTGCGATGCAAATCTACTCACAACAAAACGCTTATATATATATACAAGCATGAAAGGGAAAGGTAAAGAAGTTATGCGCATGGGCTGAGCCCGGTAACGATTGCAACAATCTGTGGGGGCATTGGCGAGCAAAGGTTCACATCAGCCCAAAATAAACTCAAACAAGACAGACGCGTGAGAGGCCGACGACACATTCCAACCAGTTAAGGATGGAGAGATGACAGGCCACAACCGGGCGAGAAAGGGATGGACTGCAAAGAAGCTGCTACAGTTTCTTTCATGTGAGGTCTGAGAGCATCTCGATTTGTTGTGCACCATGTATTAATATTATCTTTGAAGTGGCGACATGCGGCCTCGGAGATTTTTCTCCTTCAAAGCTGAAGCAAATCACACACGAATTTGTGGCAAGGAACGATATCGAACCTTCTCTAGCACTTAAGCTATGCTCCAGTTCAGGGTTTTTGGTACAAGTTCTTATGTCCTAATTCTAGAATAAGTGAAACTTATAGGTGCATGTCACAACAATAATTCCCTCTTCTTCAGCGAGTCTGCTTCTCTCTCTCTCTCTCTCTCTCTCTCTCACACACACACACACACTTCTTACTCTACAGTATTCAAAATGAAGCTAATTCCCATCATCAGAAAGGCTAATTGACTTGAGCTGCAGTCTTTGTAAATAATATGGATTGTTGCTGGTAGGACTGAGCTTTCCTTCTGAAAAAAAACGTGATGGTGATGCTTCCATGAAAACAGGCTTCGTTAACCTCTCTCGCTTTCTCTCTCTCTAGCCATCAAACAACGTTCAATCCACTGAAAAGATTTGTTTTGTAGCAGCGCGCCGACCAAATCTGTGGTTCCTTCTGGCTTCCAATGATTGAGACGCCATGCTTCGCTGGTCATGTTTGATTAACAAAAACCCTAAACCACTCTTTCAGCGAGCATATTCTCCAGAAAAGAAGCTGCCAGAAGAACCTCACTGTCTCATTAGATGCTGCCGCAGTTTTTTTATCTTCTTCTTAAAACAAAACGAAGATATATCCAGAAAAGAAGCTGCCAGCAGAACCTCACTGTCTCATTAGATGCTGCTGCAGTTTTTCGTATCTTCTTCTTAAAAGAAAAAGAAGATATATCCATGCAGTACAGATGATGGAAGCCCACCGTGCTTGTTGCTTGCTGAATCAGTTAACCTTCTCCAGCAGAAGTAGAGACATTACTGTCGAACCTCCCACCTAAAAGATTCTTCCTTAATCCCCATGACCGCAGTCGAAGTCTATCCTCAAGGATGACGTGAGGATCACTTCATGTACATTTTGGAACTGTGAAGTGTGAAGACCCCTTTCTGTCGTGGGCCAACCGAGTCTGCCGAGTTACCGACCAACACTCTTTAGCCATTGTTTGACAGTAATGTTAGGATTACTTCTGTCAATTGCTCTGATCCCATCAGAAACTTGCATTAGCTTTATCACTAATGAACCACAACACGATAACTAGCGAGAAAAATGAGAGTATACAAGGTATGACAGCTTATCATCTAATTCTTTACTTGAAAGCATGCATTTAATCATACGACTTTAACAGGATAGATGCGTGATGGGGATATGAACGTGACATGCACTATTTGCAGCGTGTTTGGATTCTATGATAACATATCGACACATGCCACTTGATGTGCCCAAAAATATATGATGTAGACCGTGTCTACTGTCGACAGGCTTCATTCACCCTTGGCGAGGAGCTGTCGAATTTTAGCTGAATCATCACGCTTCTGTCGTTGGCCGAACTCTATTTACTTTAGAGCATTGATGATACACAACCTAGATATATCATAAGCAAGATCAATCTCATCTCGTCATGTCTCATGTGATGTGTTTCTATTTTCCAAGGTGTACAACATTTCAGCATTGAAACGAAGCCTTGTGCGAATCAAACCATGTTGGAATGCCTTTGCTTCTTCTAATTGGGATTCTATTGAGAAAGCTTGAAATCGAAAGGAGTGCAAAAAATTTCCTTGATGATGGTTCAATTTGCGCCATAATGCATATTAAGTTCATTCGCTAATGTAGAATGATCACTAATCATTGACTTTGAGATATAATAAGCATTGGATTAAATAAATCAAATGGCGTCCCCCTCGTTTCAGGGATTATTATTGAGCAGTTGCCATGATTCATGTTTATCCATGCGCATGCTAAAATCGGTGAATTAATTTGCAGCGAACCCTCTCAAGAGACGGATTTAGTGGATGTATGGACGTACGGACAGCCTAATTTCGAGAATCCCATTGGACAACATATGACTAGGATATACGTGTCGCGATTCCACATGTAAATCACTTTGTCCCGTGACCATCGACAAGCAGCCGATGAGCGGGCCCACATGATAGTTGCTCAGCGGAAAAATGGGGGAAAGGACGGTCCCATGTTACTTCCATCAGCTGTGCCGAGTCGGACAGCATCTTCTTCGAGTGTCCCTCTGAAACACTGAAGCAACGAGTGGGTCCACTCCGCAATTCCTCTATTCTGCTGGGTTTTAAGTGCGATTGCTGTCCTCGATGGCACAGCTACGTTGTCTTTGGTATAACGTATAAAAAGGAGAAAAAAGCCCGGAAGCAGCCAAGGAAACCGAAACGTTTCGGGAAGCGATCCACCATGATCGAACTGTTTGCTGTTCGGCGCTATGCAGCGAGCGATCGAAGTACTGTCAGGTTGACGAGGCCCGCCCCTCGAGGCGCAGCGAAAGGCCGTGAGGCCGAAGCTGGGCCCCACTACTTTTTTTCCACGTGGCACGAGCTCGATCGCAGACTCGAGCGTCTCCTTTTCCTTTCTTCACGCAGCTTAGGTCCGGTGCGTTGGAGATTTAAAGGGCAGAAAAGCCATCGTTGGTTTGCATCTGGACGGCTGGTGGCCGAGCCGTCTCGAGCTGGAGTTGTCTCCTTGTGGCTCCCGTAAGGCACTCGACTGTGTGTCAGCCTAAGTTGGAGCGTAGCAACCAGTAGAATATTCCACAGTCGGCTCAACCAGACCGGATGGGACCGACACATTCCACAGATTTGGTTCCCTCGAGCGCTGCCCGGTCAAACATTTGGTTCACGGGTCACACGAATCAGGTTCACTCTACCGCCCAATTTCTATCTCGAGGAAGAAGAATAAAGGAAGAAAAAAGAGGACAGATCCGTATCTAAATATAGGAGACACACGTACACAAAGTTAATGACTGTTGGGTTGTAAAGGTTGGAAGAGCCGTTACATGGCAGGCTAGAGTTCCCTGTGCGATAAGACGCAGCCTCATCTACTGCGCCACCCAGAAATGAATAGGAAAGATGATGAGCTCACATGGTCTGGCTGTCACCGGGCCCTACCTGGACCACCTTACAACTCATCTACCTCTTATCTCTTCACGACGGCAAACATCACGACACATAATCCAGCAGCTCTTTCCCGATTGGAGCTGGAATCAAAAGCGGACAGGTGGAGCTGCCGTTGACGTGGGCCTTCTTCTCCCGAATACCTGAACTTACTATACCTGTTTGTGTAAACGGTGGTCGTGTTACGGATTCGGAGATTTACTATGGCATGAAGATAACTCTTGAAAAGACGAGCGCACCAAGCAGGGCAGTCCACTTGCGATCCATAAAACCCCCCGCACCCTCATTCGATGCGAGAGAAGACGAGCCACCGAGGGTAGCAGTAGCCGCAAGTGAGCTAAAGCAGAGAGAAGATCGCCATGTCGAAGGAGGTGAACGTGGAGGGGGAGCAACCGCCGGTGAAGGACTACACGGACCCTCCGCCGGAGCCGCTGTTAAACTTCGGGGAGCTACGGCTTTGGTCCTTCTACCGCGCTCTCATCGCCGAGTTCGTGGCCACACTCCTCTTCCTGTACGTCACCATCGCCACCGTCATCGGCCACAAGGAACAGAACGCGGCCGACCAGTGCAGCGGCGTCGGCCTCCTCGGTATCGCCTGGGCCTTCGGCGGCATGATCTTCATCCTCGTCTACTGCACCGCCGGCATCTCTGGTCCTCCTCGCCCACCTTTCGATTTTTAACCCAAAAACTCAACTAAAATGCATATGTGCTAAATCCTACTTCGCTTGGGTTTTGTAGGAGGGCACATCAACCCCGCGGTCACGCTCGGGCTGTTCTTGGCGCGGAAGGTGTCGCTGATACGGGCGTTGCTGTACATGGTGGCGCAGTGCTTGGGAGCCATCGTCGGGGTGGGGATCGTGAAGGGGATCATGAAGCACCAGTATAACTCCCTCGGCGGCGGAGCCAACATGGTCGCCGCCGGCTACTCCAAGGGTACCGCCCTCGGGGCCGAGATCATCGGCACCTTCGTCCTCGTCTACACCGTCTTCTCTGCCACCGACCCCAAGCGCAGCGCTCGCGACTCGCACGTCCCCGTACGTACCAAAAAGACGACACGCATGTCCACCCTAAATTACTGGTGTTTTAAAGTCTTTTTTCAGTGGATTCTGTTGACTTGAATTAATTGTTCACAGGTGTTGGCACCACTCCCCATCGGGTTCGCCGTGTTCATGGTGCACCTCGCCACTATCCCCATCACCGGGACCGGCATCAACCCTGCTCGGAGCCTTGGCGCTGCAGTCATCTACAACCAGGACAAGCCCTGGGATGACCATGTGAGACCATAATTTCGGGCATTATACGAATTCTTTCATATCTGTGGTTGTTTTGGAGGTGGAATGATTGTGTTCTCTCCGGTTGTGCATGCAGTGGATCTTCTGGGTGGGTCCCTTCGTCGGAGCGTTAGCCGCGGCGGCGTACCACCAGTACATCCTGAGAGCAGCGGCCATCAAGGCTCTGGGTTCCTTCAGGAGCAACCCCACCAACTAAAATCAGCTTCCTGAAGCATGCAGCAGCAGAAGCCTCGCCTTTTCTCGTCTTCTTTCGTTTGTGTGAATGATGATTGCACGCGAGGGAAGTGAAGATTACGGGGGATAGGGTTGCTTCTGATTTCCTTATTTTATCTGCCTTTGTTTCGTCTCTCTCAGCTTCTTCTTTGCCTTGTGTAATGTAAGGGGGATGTGTGGCACTCTGCTTACTTCAAGTTGGGGGAAACTATGGTTGTCTTCTAGTCTATTTCTCAACAACACCGTTGTCTGTTCTCAGTAACATCGTCTTAAATTGTGCTCATTGGTAGTCTAATTATGAGAGGGGAATCAATCTGCAGGACATATCACACCCACCACCTTTGGCCCTTATCTTTTGACTTGCCCTCCACTTGCTTCCTCGGCCCGTATCTTTTAACTTGTCCTCCACTTGCTTCCACCCAACTCTGCTCTTCTTTTACTTTGCCCAACCCTACTTTGCTCTTCTTTTATGCAAAAGAAGACGAGCGAAAGACAGAAAGATCTTTTGCCTCGTGCAAAGCGAAAGGCTGTTCATTCCCGACTGCCGTGCCACGCGGATAACTGTCCCTGGTCGTCGAAAGCTCACAGTGTGGAGTTCTCAGGTTGGCCCTCCTGCCGCAGCTCTGTAAAGCTGTGGCGTGCTGCACTTGGCTTGCACCATTGACAGCTTGTTGGTGTGCTGCAGCACTGGCGAGGGAGAAGGTCTGAAATGGCAGGCACACAAGGAAGGTGCTTGTCCATCGAGTCACAAGATCCCTCGTGATGTTATCGTCCCTTTCGTTCGCAATCGACGATGCACATCACAAGCTTCTCGATCCAACACTTGCGATCATGTTGTGTGTGGTGTTCTCATCTTTTCCACTCCCAGTTGTCGACCGCCACTAAGTGGTGTGAAGAGACCTCTCATATTCGATCAGATTACATATTTTCCAATTCGAGCCGCAGCAGCGAGCATCAATCGAATTCGCCAACCTGATCCACAATGTCGTGTTCTAATCATAGTTGATGTGGCCATCCATAAGATTCGAGAAGGGTCTTGTTCCTTTCGGTGTAGAAAATTCGATCACGTTGCAAGTTCTTCGATTCAAGCCTCACAAGTACACATCAATCAACCTATTGATTTGCAAATCTTCCACGTGATCGATCCTCCGATCAAATTATTACGGTGCAGCGACCAATTCATTCAGCAAGAATTAGAATTTGTTTCCGGATAAAAAGATATTTGCTAATTACATATTATCTATATAATTATTATCTTTAGTATTTTGATTCTTGTATTTAAAAAAATCATACTAGTATCCTTATAATTATGAAAGTTAAATATTTATATTCATTTATTCTAACGTTATCGATTTTATCAACGAAAATATAAAAAACAAAGGGTAAAAAGATAATTTTAACATTCCAGTTAATGGTGACAGACAATATTGGTAGTGGCAAACAGTGACAGCGCTGGGGTTGCAGGTGAGGAGAGCGATGACGAGAGATGACGATCGCTCTACGTTTGTGTCGATGTTCATACAATTGCCCAGTGACTCATTTACCTCTCTACATATGTGTTGGTGGCCCTTTCATCGCTCGACAACTGTATCAACGTTAACGCAATTACTAAGTGACGAAAGGGTCACTGATGCATATGCTAAACAACCCTTTTGTTGCTCGATAACTGTACCGATACTGATATAAATGTAGAGCGATGAAAGAATCACTAAGTAATGTGTTAATGTTGAGATGACTCTTCCATCTCGTCATCGTTCTCCTCATCCACAATTGTCTTATGCAACCTCTAATGGTACCATCGTCCATCATCACCAACTAAAATATTAAAATTATTTTTTATTTTTATATTTTTATTGATAAAATCAATAACGTTATGGTATATAAACTTAGATATTACACTTTCGTAACTATAGAAACACTAATATAATTATTTAAAGTGTTGAGATCGAGAGACTAAAGGTAGCTAACTGCTATTATATAATTAGGTGCTTTGTATGATACTCGACATTTATATATATTGAAATATGCTGAAGAAGTATCGTCATATTAAAAGGCCTCTAATACAGGTTTAAGTTTTTGTTCTCGAGGACAAGTCCCAATGTCCAATCAACAAATAAGCTTCAAATAATGACCCAACAATACTTGCGTGTTTCGAGGGTGATGGAAACCGTGGCTTCTTCCGTGTCTCTATCACGTACAAATAATGTGAATTATATGTACTGCCAACATAATGACCCACGAATGAGTAAAGACAAGAAATAATCAAATGATTCAAACTCTTAATGATTTGAAATAAAATATGGAGCAGAACGAAATGAAAATGATTGACAATAATACTGAACCTATGGCATGCTGCTGCTTCTTTATCCATACCAAATTTAATGGCATTTATTAGAATTTCTTAGCTCAATCTCTTTGTCTCGACACATTGAAATTATTCATACTATTCTTCCATTTTAATTAGTTGGACGACAAATATTTGTACTGACACGGTAGAAATATCTGTAGCATATATAAAATTTAATGAAGTAGAAAAATCTAATCGGTCTTAAATAACTGAGACATTACGACTAGTTATCATCTTGTCAAAAAAAATAAAATATAATTGGAGATCCAATTATGTACATTTACCAATTGTTGCTCTTATATAATTCAATTATATACGCATAGCTATACAGCTATGACGAGGTTAAAAAAAAAAAAAAAAAAAACCAAGTCTCACCTTTTTTTTAGACTTTGTTGATATAATTGTTAACATACTTCTCTAATCGTAGTCGAGGTGTCAACACGGTTCGGTCTAGTTATCGATGTTTAGGACCATCCCAGTGACAAGGCCTTCGTCGAGTCAGACTAGGAGTTGGCTCCATGCTCACTCTATCTATCGATACGCAGTCTGCTTTGTCATCGCTAAGCTCCTACACACATGCTTGAGTCGGGAGGGGAGGGGTCTTCCAACTTAGCCCCTCTAAAGGTTAAGTTAGCACTGGTATGATTTAAAAGGGTTAAACTTTCTCAAAAAATCTCTCCCCCCCCTCTTCATAATTAAGGAGGGTTCGCTTTCATACCTGCAAGGATGAGTTGATCGTATGGGGTCAATTAACAGCGACCAACTTAAGCTTCTGTGCGAGCGTCGACCGACCTACACGGATCGACGTTGTGCGACATCACCCCGAGCTTTTCGGGATGACTGTACCATGATGATATCGTTTCATATGAAGGGGGCAGTGAGTGATTTCCCACCGCATATGTGTTGTGCGTCACATCAAACTTGAAGTTCTACGTTTGTATCGTCGTGTTTACTTATCTGGTCCACGTGGACGATATCAAAATGTGTCATATCAATAATAACAAAATATGATTTTCAAAATATTTTTCTGAGATCTTGAAGGGATGTTTTGTTAATATTCCTCCGGAAATATTCTTGGAAGCATGCCACGATTCAGTTGGATAGAATAGTTAATCTATTAATTTTATTAAGCTTGAATTATTGACATAGAATATTCAAAACAAATTAATAGTAATAAACCTATCTAATCATCATTAACTCAAATCAAGTCTTCTCCCACTCTGACTAAACCATAATATTACTGAACCTACGACGAATTAGGTCTCGCACTATATATGTCGATCACAAAACAAAACCTTTATTTGTGATCGATGTAAATGAGAATATGATTGTTTATGTTTGGCTCGATTTTGATATGATTTGCATGACCTAATAGATTACTCTTGTGTTATGCATGAGCTCAAATTTGAATTGTTCACCTACATTAAACCATTTTGATGACCGAAGAGAAAACTCGAGGAAGATGACGAAGAAAATTAATGGTGGCCAAAATAATAATTTATTTTTGAATAATAGAAACCTAGAAACTCAAATTACCTATTGACACTACTTATGAAGAAATCTTACAGCTAGTAGGAGAAATTGTTATATCCATTAGCTCCAAACATCCAACAAGTTAAATATTAAATAGATACGAGATTCTTTTCTAATCAAGCACTAATCGAGTGAGCCGAATACAATCAGGCTATGTTTGAGCTTTATTTATATTAATCATTGGGTTATCAGACTTCAACTATAATTCTATCCAACATAAGGTTCAAGAGAGATGTCAAAGGCGCTTATTACTTCTCAAATAAATCCTTTATCTATATATAAACACTAGTTGATTACGCATCCAAGTAGGATATATCTCGTAGTCGACAAACTCTATTACTAATTTTTAGTTTCTTAAAATAACTCTATTACTCTACCCTCATCGAACTTCTCATTGACCATCTCGTCAGCTCGACATATCGATCAACTAATTCTTTCATCATCTTAAATGTCTAATCAACATGATATTTCAATCGAAAACCACTAATGTCAACATATTTATATACTAACTATAACATTTGATCATTTAGAGCATGACGAGATGGTCAACATATCTTAAATGTCTAATTATTTTTTAGAAACTAAAAATTAATGGAGTTAATTTTAATGATTCTAACATAATATGTTAGAATCAGGTATCAATCCCTAACATGTCGGACGACCTACTAACAATGGTCTGCGTCCCGTGTGGATCTCCACCACCTCGGATTCGGATTCGGATTCTTCTGCTGATATCTGTTCTTTAGTTGCTTGCCCATTGGATTTGTTTTATGGGCTCTTGAAATCAATCATGACTATTTTAAGATCTGCCAATGCTGATTTCCAAGTGATGCTAAATACTTCTGTTCTAAACTTATTCGTATTACGATCATACTCGTAGTGATGCTTAGAGTTATCGCAGAAAGATTAGGCTCCGATCTTAATGAGCCCTATCTCGACGAGTCATGCCGATGCTTCTCAACCAATCGATCCGAATTGGATCGTTGGCCACTTACTTAAGCAGGTCTCGCTATAACGAGTTCGACCACAAGCTTCTCTTGCTTTCTTGGCTACATAACATAGATCTTAGAATCCAAACAGGTGGCATACAAGCAAATGAAAGGAGCCTTCTTGGAAGTAGACACCGAGACGAGAGCCATCGTCCCTCGTCTTGGTGACATCAGAGGTTGGTCTTGGGAGCGATGTCGATGACGAATCGGTATCGGACGTCGTTCCTCGCGAGCCTATCTAATGCCTCGTTGATGTGGTCCGGCGTCACCAGCTCGATTTCGCTAGTGATGTTGTACTTCCCGCACACGTCCATCATCTCCTGCGTCTCCTTCATCCCGCCGATGATGCTTCCGCTCACCGTCCTCTTCCCTGCAACATCACATCGCCGGTCCATCACTAACAAGAACGTCGACCTTTGCACACCACCACTCGTTTGGGATTTCCATGTCAACTCACCAAAGATTAGAGGGAAGGATGGGAGCTCCATCGGCTTATCTGGAGCTCCCACGAGAGCCAACGTCCCCCTGATCTTGAGCAGCTCCAGTATTGGCCCCAGCGAATGATTCGCCGACACCGTGTCGATGATGAAGTCCAGGCTCCTCGCACAAGCCTGATGCCAAGCCAGGGGACTCTCTTAAGCTCGAGAGTCCGATATGATGACAGCTACAGTTCACCAGGGTGATCGATCCATACCTGCATCTGTTTCGGATCGGTGCTAACGAGGAAATCATCAGCGCCCAGACGCATCTTCGCCTCCGTCTCCTTGGAGGGGGATGTGCTGATCACGGTCACGTGAAGCCCGAACGCTTTCCCGAACTTGACAGCTATGTGACCCAGCCCACCCAAGCCAACGACACCCAGCTTCTTGCCTGGTTGCAGCATGTTGTGCTGCTTCATGGGGCTAAACACGGTGATCCCTGCACACAGCAGCGGAGCTGCCTTGTCCAAGGGGAGACTGTCCGGAATGTGCACCACATACCTGAAACATATTATGGTGGTGAAACTTCAAGATCACAGACCAAGAAAAGGGATGGGATTCTAGGAGATGACAAATCCATGAAGTGGATTTGACCTGTTGTCGGCCACCAGCATTTGGGAGTAGCCGCCGTAGGTGATGCTACCATCCCAAAAGATGCCATTATATGTGAACTGGAGCTGGTCGCAGTAGTTTTCCTGTGAATCCTTGCAGAACTCGCATTTGAGGCACGACGCAGCCAAGCATCCTACCCCTACTCTGTCTCCCACCTTGAAGTTGCTCACGTTGCTCCCAACCATGGTGATTATGCCTGTTATCTCATGCCTGCCATAAATATTTTCATTTATTTAGCTTTAATCATATGAAATCTACAAAGACGTCACTTTGCTTTAATTATTTTGATCAAAATATAATTAAAATTTTAATATATCTTAATCAATTAATTAAGATCATAAAAATCATCTAATACGATCTCTTTTCCCACAAAAGAAACGCCACTAGACTCCATTCAAGTGGGACTATGCATCGATCTCGCATCATAGACTATCCAATCAGCAATTACAGTTGATCCCGAGGAGTAGAAACTCCTACTTTAGCCTTGATTCGATGTCCGCGCTGCTTCCAACATGCCTTTATGCGGAAGAGATCGTAAAACCTCTCATCTCTGACATGCGTCACATGTCGATCTGACTCTCGGTGACAGGAAATTGAATTCTATAGGTTTGGGAGAAAGAGAAAGAGTGTACCCAGGAACAACAGGGTACATGGTGATTCCCCAGTCGTTCTTGATGTAGTGGAGATCGGTGTGGCACATCCCGCAGTAGAGTATCTTGATCGTCACGTCGTCGACTCCGTTCTTCCTATGGTGACCAAAGCAAACCCATTCCTTTCCGGTTAAGGCCTTCTCTACAAGAAGAAGAAGCAGGAAAAAGAAAGAAACAGAGAAAGAAGACGACCACAAAGCAGCATCACCTTCTCTTGAAGACAAAAGGCGTGATCTTTCCGGATGAATCCTTCGCTGCCCATCCGAACACAGTCTGCGTGTGATTCGGCGTCGTCTCTGCCATCACCCCTCCCTTCACCCTTTCTCAGAGTCAAAGGCACAACAACCCCTCTTTCAGAGACCTCTGCTTCCTGCGCTGTACTCCCATGTGGTTATGCCTCTCTTGCTTAAGTAGGTGGTGAACCGAGGACCAGCAATTGTTTGGCCAATCGAGACGTGCCAAGCGGTTCATGTTGTGGCGCATCGAGTCAAACGTTATTATTATTGCAGTGCAAAAAGGACGAGTTTAATCGTCAGTACACAGGCCGTCACTTGCACTTCAATTTCTTGGTGGATGGACTGACATTGTTTGGAAACTCCCGAGTTTTATGGTGATCCATGCGATCTGCGCGTTAGCGCAAGCAGACGTTCATATTGGGCCGTCCAATGACTCGGCGGTTGGTCCGATGCTATGGTGGGACCCGATTACGTCGTCCAGTGGGAAGAAGTCATTATATATAGTTATTTGCAGGTATGGTTGCACTATGCAACCTTCCCCCATCTTGAAACATCATAACACGAGGGATGGGCCCCGTTTCATGTGCGTGAAGGAGATTCGATAGGTAGCTTTCAGTTTTAATATGGATGTGATTAGTCATATAGCCCATATGTATGTTAATGAATGAATGCAATCGTACTGCATAGTGCTAACTCTTCAAGTCCTCCTTACTACGCCAACTAAAAAAAAATATTTATTTTTTATGTTTTCGTCTATTATTTAAAGTTTACGTTTCTAAATACTTTTGAAGTATATATTAGTGTCTACATCATCGACAACCGACGAAGATATATAAACGATAGCACGAGTGGCATATCTATATTTTTTGAACGGGATATATATATATATAAACGATAGCACGAGTGGATTACCAAACTGTCTCCGTCGTGAAATATTAATAAAAATATTCATAATAGTTCATGGGATAACTTGGGATAATTATGAACTGTCTCCCTTACGAAATATTCTCCAGAGTCTACGGGTAGCTTAGATTGATTACAAATCGTCTCCCCTATAAAATTTTTATAAGATATTCCGTCTCCTCAAGGTCGGATATAAAAATAAATTTATAACTCTACGTAAGGAGAAAAGAACTTAGAGTCAGTGGACATCAACACTAAACTGAAGCATCGAAGTGACTAGCTCGGACAGCTTCTCCCGATTTTGATTTTTATGCAAATAACAACTTCGAAGAAGATGTGTTTCATTTGAATGATTTCGAATCAGGATCACATCGTACTGATAAAGACGTGAACGATATTTTTTTAAATTATATTGAAAAGTAAAATCTAAATTAATAATTCTATAATCACCCGTAACAATTTGCATATAATTTTATTTTTCATGAGACGAAACGGATAATCCCAAAATCATGATGAGGCTAATTGTGTCTCTTTTGATATAAAAGGATTGAAGGTATATTATTCTAACAATTTATCTATTTCAAAATAAATGTACAGAAGTTGATCATACTAATACAAGGGCGATGTTGAAATATAAGTGGAAAATGTCTCGGGTAACATACCAATCGACTCAACCTATCAAAGTTAAGATAAAATATTAATACTTTATTTTTAATATTATTAATATAGATCTTGATTGTCCAACAGGTTTGAGAAGGTGAAGGAGTAGAACATCTGATTCATATGGTTCGGTTAGTTCATGGCCCGTTATTATACGTTGCCTGAAGAAAAGATGGCCATGGCCAAACTTCCATGGAGTCATCGTGTTCATCACCGAAGCTTCCTCCGACAACACGAAGCAGTCACCTGCGTTTCCACCTTCCTCCCTCGGTTGCATGGGAAACTTACTGGGACTGTTGGGTCAACGTGTTCGATGAGCGAGTCAAGTCCACAAACTTGAACTGCAAACATGGACAATTGACCCAGCAAAGTCTTTGGTCGAATAATAGTTGGAGTCCGTCAGCATCTTGACCGAACCTGATTCGGGTCAATGTGAATAGTGCACACTTTGCGGTCAGATCAATCATGCAACTTAACAGTACCGCAAGTAGTTGGGAATAATTGTTGATGTCAGTCGATAAGAATCATTTAAGTGGTCAATTTTAAATGTCTTGGGAAATATCTTGCGGAAGAACCCAATGGCTCGATAGAAATGGATGATGGAGCGCACAGACCTTAGTGTTTCCGTCGAGAATGATGATGTCATGGGCAATAGAGAATGTGAAATTGATGATCAAAATAATTACATAATTATTTTTAAAACTTGATGATCTTAATAAAAATGATGATGTCATGTGCGATAGAGAATGATTCATAGGTGAGTTGACTAGTGGATACTCCTAATCGTGAGATCAGAGTATTACGAAGGTGGCTCCAAAGTGATGCCAAGTATAGAATGGACGAATCTGATGAATATTATTCAGAAGGAAGAGTCAACGTGGAGAGCGAGAGATGTGACACTTGTGTCAAAGAGGTAGAAGAGTTTGACGTTACTGATTATAGTTGAGGAATTATTAGAAGTAACATCGGAAAGGAGGATGGAATACAGGAGAAGGATTGGAGGTGGCAGAGGGATGCGAGGAGCTCACGGATGACATGATTCATTAGGCAATCGATGGGCTAGGTCAAAGTGGTGGAGTTTAATGTGACGATGGAGATGAAGAGGTGATAGATGGGAGGAGAAGGAGACAGTAAGGAAGATGAAAACAACAATGGATGGCAACGATGTTGCTTGCTAGCACCATCGCATCATTGCATCACAGATCGATCGAATTAGAAGACGAGAAAGAGTAAGTCGATGGAGACACGGTTTTCAAATCACAATATTACTAATATAAATATAATTATACAACTCGTGATCCTCGTGGGTCCCACGGTGAAAGTTTATTCGTAACACAAGTCGGATTTAATTTAAGTAAAATATAATCTTATTTTTTAATCGAAATATCCTTATTTTTATTGTCTATTTCTGTCAATTTTGCACACGATGTTATGTTATGTGCACTATTTTCCAACAAAGAAATATAGTTGAGTTAAAAGTCGACTAACTTATAGTATTTTTAAAATTATGGAGTCCCAAATATAACTTTTAAAAGTTCATCTTGATGTTATAAAATGCTAACTAAATTAGCCCTATACATAATAGGTCTCAAGTTTAAATCCCATATATTTGAATTCATGTTGTGAGCGGTATATATATATTTTTTATATAATATTTTTAATAAAATTAATTAAATATTTATTTGTGTGGGGTACAATAAAAAAAAAATTCAAATCAAATCAAAAATTGTTTTTGAGCCGTAAGTATCGTTTCATGCGTGCCTCGTGGTAGCATGAGAAGAACTCTCACTCGCTACTCTCAGCATCTCTCTCAGAGCAATTTCCTCATACATGGCCACCTCGCTCCACCTTCTCCTCCAACGCTCTTCTCCCTCTCTGCCTCAGACGCAGCAAGCCCACGCCGGCCTCCTCAAGTGCGGCCTCGTCCCCGTCGACGCCCACCCCACTACCAAGCTCCTTACCCTCTACGCTCGTCACCTCCGCTTTGACGATGCGGCTCTCCTCTTCCGCTCAGTCCCTCGCCCCGACCCCTTCTCCTTCTCCGTTCTCATCTCCGCCCTCGTCCGATCTCGCCACTTTTCGCTAGCCCTCTCTCTCCTTCCCTCCATGCTCTCCCTTCGCCTCGCTCCCGACCCGTTCGTCATCCCCGCCGCTCTCAAGGCCTGCGCCGCTCTCCCCTCCATCGCCCTCGGTCGGCAGCTCCATTCCCTGTCCCTTGTGGCTGGCATCTCAGGGGACCCCTTCGTCGCCTCCGCTCTCGTCCATATGTACCTCAAATGTGGAGCGATGGCCGACGCGCACGTAGTGTTCGACCGAATGGCGGAAAAGAGCATCGTGACCTGGAGCGCTATGATAGCTGGCTACGCGACTTACGGACACGTAGACGAGGCTTTGCGGATGCTCGAACGCATGCGAAGTTCCGGCACAGAGCCAAATCCGATCACCTGGAATGGGATGATCGTGGGTTTCAACCGTAGTGGGCGTCCTTATGACACTGTGCTGCTGATGCGGAGAATGCACTCCGAGGGCTTTGAAATGGATGCGGTCGGCATCTCGAGCACGCTTTCGGCGGTCGGTGACATGGAGGATGTTGTGATCGGAAGTCAGATTCATGGGTATGTCACCAAGACAGGACTGGGAGCCGATAGTTCCGTCGTCAGTGCTCTAGTCGATATGCACGGAAAAAGTGGTCGCCCGGAGGAGATGGTCCGAGTGTTTGATGAGGCGGGCCAAAGAGATGTCGGCTCTTGCAATGCTCTCGTTGCTGGACTTTCGAGGAACGGCCGTGTTGATGACGCTCTAAAGGCATTTAGCAATTTCGAAGCACAAGGGGTGGAGCTAAATGTTGTGTCTTGGACCTCGATCGTGGCTTGTTGCTCGCAGAACGGGAAGGACATGGAAGCATTGGAGTTCTTCAGGGAGATGCAGATTGTTGGGGTGGAGCCGAATGCGGTGACGATCCCGTGTCTGTTGCCGGCTTGTGCAAACATCGCAGCCTTGATGCACGGGAAATCGGCCCACAGCTTTGCTCTTCGAAAGGGCATTCTCGCGGATGTGTTCGTGGGCAGCGCGCTGGCGGATATGTATGCAAAGTGCGGTAGGATCAGGGATGCTCGAGTCGTCTTTGATGCAATGCCATCACGGAACGTGGCCTCTTGGAATGCAATGATCGGAGGGTACGCAATGCACGGAAAGGCGAAGGATGCAATTGAGTTGTTCCTTTTGATGAAGAGAAGCAGGCGAAAGCCCGACCATATAACCTTCACCTGTGTGCTCTCTGCTTGTGGTCAAGCTGGGCTAACAGAAGCGGGAGAGCGCTACTTCGGTGAGATGCAGGAAGAGCACGGGATCACTGCCAGAATGGAGCATTATGCCTGCATGGTTAGCCTCCTCGGTCGTGCGGGAAGGCTAGACGAGGCGTATGGTCTGATAAGAAAGATGCAACTTGAGCCAGATGGCTGTGTGTGGGGAGCCTTGCTCAGTTCTTGCAGGATTCACAACAATGTCGAGCTGGCAGAGATTGCAGCAGAGAAGCTATTCCAGTTGGAGCCTGGAAATGCCGGGAGTTACGTGTTGCTCTCAAACATCTATGCTGCCAAAGGGATGTTGGAGGGGGTGGACAGGATGAGGGATGTCATGAAGAACATGGGTGTGAGGAAAGACCCAGGATGTAGCTGGATCGAGATCAAGAACAAGGTGCACATGTTGTTGGCTGGGGACAAATCACATCCCCAGATGAGCCAGATTGCCGAGAGGTTGGAGAAGCTTAGTGTAGAGATGAAGAGATTGGGGTACCTCCCGAGCACCGACTTCGTGTTGCAGGATGTGGAGGAGCAAGACAAAGAGCAGATCCTGTGCGGGCACAGCGAGAAGTTAGCGGTAGCATTGGGACTCATTAGCACCCCGACAGGGACTACGCTTCGGGTGATCAAGAATCTTCGAATATGTGGAGACTGTCATGCTGCTATAAAATTTATATCAAGCTTCGAGGGCAGGGAGATACTCGTAAGAGATACAAACCGGTTTCATCACTTCAAGGATGGAAGCTGTTCTTGCGGTGATTACTGGTGAGCATTCCTTGTGAATGTTGACTGTCAATTCATGAACACTCGAATCCATTGGTTTCCAGAATTCATGAAGGGTTGGTGGATCAAGAATACATCCAAGGATCAAGATCAGATTTCATGGAATCTACCAACTTTAGCAGTTGACTTGAGACTTGTTGGCAGTGATTGGAGACAGGTAAAAAGGAGCTAGAAATAAGTAGGAATTGGTTCGAATTGGTTGGTCAGAACTTCCACAAGATTTGCAAGTCTGATGGATGATAGAAAGCTGCTGGCATAGATAACTTGATGATATCTTCATCTGGGTCCTATGTTTGAGAAGATAGACCAATGCAACTCATTAAGTTTGACATATGCTTCATGGTATGATCAGTTGAAGCTTCTTTTCCTTCTCTTCGGTGTCAGCCTTGAATGAAGGCTTAAAGCTGGTGATTTTGTCATTTTATCTTATTCAGATCTCTTCATAAATTTCTTCGAGGAGAAGGAAATGCAGATCGATCTACGCTAGCATTCCAAAGATTCCTCGTAGTTAACAATTTGACCCAAATATCAACCAGCGGAAAAAAAGAAATAATTTGCATTCTAAGAATTCCTCAGAGCCAAGTAAAAGTACACAGTTCTTACTTACTGCATTTCTGGAGCTGCTCCAGAAGATGAAGAACTCTTACACGCATGGCAAGATCCACCGAACTCCCAGGAGGAGAAGATCAATGATGCAGATTCACCAGGTGTATCTGCGCCTGTAACGAGGAGAAGATGTAAGGCACTCCTTTATCTTCCTTCAGTGTCTTGCAATCACTGCCTTGCTCTTGATATATGCCGATGCCCGTTCTCCCTGGCCTACAACCGAAACCCCCAAATTCCAGCAACCATGGAGACCCTAAGCTTTTAACTTTCTGAACTCAAACCAGATCTCGTAATGGTTGAACAACAAGCTATCATGTGTACGCTTCCCAACGTACTCCAATCCCAAATTCGTGAGCCTGTTGGTGCACACATCGCCGCCCAATCGTGAACAGAATTTGATGTTGTGGGACACAAAGATCCGACCTTTCTCGAGTTTTAGCCTGGCTGACAACCTCTCCATGCCCACCCAGACCAGCGCGTCGGGCATGTGGAGGAACACCGCGCTGGCATATATGAGATCATAGAGCACGTCGGACCCGAATCGATCGAACTCCATGTCCTCCCCTCGGAGAATGAGCGGCCGCTTGTGGAGGAGACCCTGGGAAGGGATCTCGTAGCGGAGCGCGGCCATGAGGGACAGCTCGTCCCGCTCGAGGCAGTGGAATCTGGCCGGGTCGAGGTACCGGATGAAGTGAAGGCCGACTCGGAGCGTGCCGCACCCGATCTCGAGCACGTGGTCGGCGGGCGAGAGACTGGCGGCGGTAGCGAGGAACTCGAAGACGTCACGGCCGCCGGCCCATGGCTCGCCGTAATTACTGTGGTGCTCCTCCACCAGGAGCTCCTCGGGGCAAGGGAGGGCCGTGTGATTCTCGGCGTCGTCGCCCTTGTAGTGAGAGACGCCCTTGAACCTGCAGAAAACGAATCAAAATCAGATTTTATTTTGAAGGACTTGAACCAAAGCGAGGGACTTGGGTCGATCGATGGGAGAGGAATCGACCGGCGCAGGTCTTCGAGCTGCTGGTCGCGGGTGCGAGGGTTGATACCCTTGCGGAGGGAATGCCAAGCGGCAGGCGAGGATGGGGGTTCCTGGATGGAGTTGAGGACGAGTTGGGATTTGAGCCAGGCGATGTCGTCGAGGGTCGGGGAGATCGGATCTGGGGGTCCAGTGGCCGCAGCGATGGAGGAGGCCGCGGAGGTGGTAGGGCAAGAGAAGGATGCAGCAGACGAGGAGGAGGGAGCAGGGGAGAGAGAAGACAGAAGAAGGAACAGGAGGAGGGCGGCGGCCGCGGTGAGGAGGAGGAGGGATGCGGGAACGGTGATGCCTTTGGAGGGGAGAGTCGCCATTGGATCAAGCAGTTCCGCTGCACGCGATGCGCAGCAGTGACCGCAAAATGTATTGTGGTTGACGGCTCGAGCATATATTATAATTATATTACATTAAATAATATATTATATTACATTACATTACATTATATTATATTATATTATATTATATTATATTATATTATATTATATTATATTATATTATATTATATTATATTACATCACATTACATTTGCGAATTAATCGGCTTGAGCGAAGAATTAATGGAGTTCATGAAGAAATAAGATACATTTGCGAGCTAAATATAAATCGCAAGCTTCACCAAAGGCTGTCAGGTTGCACGAACATATAATAGCGTCACCACAAACGATGATAATTCACGTGGAATGGGGGGATTACCATATCGATGTTAATAGAAGTCGAGCTGTATAAACACAAATACTATGCGCATTATACATGACAAAAGCCCAAAGTTTCACCATCTCTGCTTTCATTGAAATCCACATCTCAAATGACTAAACACGAGTGCGGCCGAATCCAACAATGTTTATAAGGCAAACTTTGGATAAGCATAATAACCGCATTGGTGTGCTGCTATATGTTTGTTCCCATCTTCTCATGCAATTCATAATTAGTATGGAATGATGAACATTATGCCCGGAAAATTAAATTGCAAGGAAAAGTGCATACTTTTCCTACAATATATAGAGCTGTACACATTCCAAAAGAAAAAATATATGGAAAAATGGAAATGGAAATATATAACAAAAAAGAACCACAAGTTCCTGGATAACAAAATTTCACATTTCTATCTCTCCTCTCCTTGCTGTTCATAAAAGATAAGATGGACATCCCTTAATTAATGAGGGTGTGAGATTGATAATTGACCATCTGCAAAACATCGCTTGCAGAAGAGTCGATCGAAACAGTATGGAAAAATGTGTGCTTTAATTTAGTACAACATGAAACCACATGATCTGCCTTCAGTAAGAATTACCGAGCTTCGCACTTGCATAAGACGTAAGAGAACTTGCAGGACGATCGATACCACCTCTTATTGACACTGTTGGACCTTTGTGTGAGCTGACCCAGCCGGTAAGACTTGAATCGAGGAACACAACAACGACAGTAATGTCATCATGAAAATGCCGGCGAACTCCACGATCAATCTTCTTTAGGTCAGAGTACCTCATCTCTCTTTTCTTTGCCGCTTCTTGTAGTGCAGCTTTGACAAGCCTCCGAGCAATTCCCTGCGAGAATCAATGTCAAGGATTAATGATGTAGTTCCTGTTGCAGATTGAAGCATTACAGTTGAAAGACAAAAGGTGGCAAAGCTTTGGGTAACAATGTTATCTTTTGGAAGAAGGCACAATATCAACTTAAAATTAAAGCTAAATATTGGAAAACAAATTGAAGTTAGAAAACCCCATATCAGCTCGGACATTCATGGTTAGCCTAATTGAGGAATTTCACTCTACAATCCGAAAATGTTCTAGATAATTTCACATTCAACAAAAAAGGATGCAATTCTCTTTGCCTTAAAAATCTGAAACCGTTGTTCTAGAAAATGATATTCTAGTTTATAAAAAAAAATCAGTAATGAAAGTTCACGATCAGAAACTTATTCAACTATCATGATTGTATTAACATGTAAAATTGTGCATGCCCACTACAAACTCTTATTCACATAAATTCACATGCCGTTAGAAATCAACTATTTCTGTCATTGAGATCTCCCCTCAAACAATGGTAAACAGTTAGACTCTCGCAATTAATTTCTGGATCGTATAAGTATTGAATGTGGCTTCATTGTGATATACAAGTTGTGCTCCCAGTTTAACAACTAGCTATTTTGTGATGAAGAACATACACTGCATGGATTATTTTGAACGATGTTGACTGCTTCCTGATTGCTTAGATGCTCCCAAAGGCCATCAGAGGCAAATATCAGAAACTGATCTTGCGGCTGCAATGGTAGTACAGAAATTGATGGTTCAGAACTAAGAATTGGTCTTTGGAAAGGCTCTCTAAGAAGGAACTTTGCTTGCAAAGGCTCCCGGTTAAACTCTGTTTTCTTAAGGTACACGTCTCCAATCGACCTAGAAACCTGCAAGCAAGATCATAAACGCCTCAGAGTTACAGTACCTACTGCTGATAACAAACAGAACATCAGGAAATATATGTATATACATGCCACACTTTGCCAAAATTAACAATATTTAATTGCAGACTTTGCCAATATCTCAACTCTGTAAACTTTTCAGAGTTGCATGCATGCCACACTTTGTTCATTAATTCTATTTGCATAATTGAATTTCAATTTATACCGTAGAATGCATTGTGTTTTTGAGATACTATTTGTGATCACTCTTAAGTAACCATGCATCATTTTGAAATATGAACATCTAATCAGAAGAATGCTTTACACAGGATGTATAGCAATCTTCTATCAACACCAATACCCATATAGAAATTAGGCTGTCGTGAAAAGAAAACCTGTCCATTAAAAGCATCGATACAAGAAACACATGCAACATAGACCTAAAGGATGAATAATGTGACCTTGATGACAATAGGATAGAGTGGAGGACATCCATCCACCAAAAATCAGCAAGAGATATACTTAAAAAGAGAAACTAATTCCTCCAAATTGATACTCGTCCATCATAAAGTTCTAGATTTGATTAATACTCATCCAGGGAAAATAACAAAAATATGAATTGGCATAACGACGATTTGATTAATTTTTACCTGTATGACTCCCTTGACACGCCAAACATTATGTTTTAGAACTACAATCTCAGAATCATCTGGATGCGAGGCATGCAATTCTTGTCTGACTGACTCAATCCCTGCATTGTGCTCTTCTGATAACTGGACAGCCAGAACTTCTCCAGTTGCCTTGACAAGCCTACCTAAAACAACACGGGAGTCTCCGAGGTTTGCAACGTATAGGGTTCCGCTGCAGATAATGCCCGCCAAACAGCAGGAGCCAACGGCTGCTATGTGAGGTTTCACAGGCCATTGTTTAGTTACCAGAGATAGGAACCCTTCTTCCGTCGCTTTGAATGCCTTCCGTATCACATCAGCTGAAATTGATTGTTGCTCCGATGCAAATCCTGCCATGCAACATATATATCAGATGGCATGCTCTGGGGTGATTTTTGGCTATAGTTCATATAAAGAATTAACATTTTTATACATCGGAATGACCGAAAAAAGGACCAGCACGAATTATATAGCACATGGAAATCTTATCCTGTAGCAAATCCTAGAATATGACTGAAAAGCTAGGAGACAAAATGGAGCTGATTACACCAGAAGCATTGGGAAAAAAATCATATCATACCATGTGTCAAGATAAATTGCGTTCTAAGGTCAGAATAATGCTAACACAAACTCATTAAGGGAGAACTATTGATCAGGACATTGAAGGATGTCGATGCACCATCCACATAAATAAGTACACAACGGCAACAAGGTTCACACTCCAGCTTCAGAAACTTACTCTTGAGATGATGGAAAAGATGATCGTTGATGTACCGGGATGTTTCTGGGCCACCATGTCCGTCGTAGATCCCCACGAAGGTCCCGTAGGGGCCGAGCCCATGCAAGCTCAGCGAACCCGACTCAATCTGGCTCTGGTCCTCAAGTAAGCTGTTCGCCTGGACAACGGCCATGGAGAAGTCCCCATTCGCAAGCCGTCCTATATCCTTGTACCAGAGAAGCCCGTCTTGCCGCCCAAGAGCGTCGGTGCCCGAGTGGTCGTGCCGCCGTGACGACGGCCCCCAGCAGGACCTTAGGAAGTTCATAAATCTCTCCGTCATCCCTCATCTTATGGGGAACTGCCTCGGGTTTTCGACGACATCAAAAAAATTGTTCTTGACCAATTACAAATCATACCGCGGAAGCCCCATATCTCTCTTAATTCCTAGTGATTATGAGAAGAAGAAGAAGAAGAAGGGACGTGAAATAAAGAAAAAAGCGCAAAACAGCAAAAATATCACTACCAAGCTCCAAAATTGCCAAGTCGGTTAAACAGAACAAAATTGCTGCTTTCCGCTTCGAATTCGGCAGTCTCTCAATACCACCAACGACTGATCCGAAAGAAATAAAAGAGCATCTCAATCTTCCTACCTTCCACAAGAACGCATCCTGCGTTTCCTCCAAATAAACAAGAATAACATATCAAAACCTGTCCTTTCTTTCATTAAAGATCACAACAAGGAAAAAAACTCCAACCTTTCTCCGAAGAAAATTATGCAATATCTGGGCTCTTTCGGGCGGGGATCAAGCAAATCACATAGGAGGAGAGATCTCTGTATCTCCCCCGAAGGATTCCGGAACGAACAAAGCGGAGAGCTAAAAGGACAGATAGAAAAAAGGACGCTCCTCTCGCTCTGTTCTCGATTACCCGGCCCGATTCGGACGAGCCATTGGGCAGGGAAGAAGACGGAGAGAAGAGGGAGCTTAAAAAAATATGGGATACGAACAAATTAGAGACAGAGAACCCCAAAAGAATCCAACCAAATAGAGCTCAGAGACAGCGAGGCGCAGGCCCCGGCGACGGGCTCCACCACCACCACACAAACACGAGTGCAGATGCGCAGATCAGGTAAACGATGGGTAGGCGTATTGTACTCACCTTTTCTCATCTCCCCCCGGAAATGACCTCCGTTACCGAAACCCGATTCGGAATTAGTCAAAACGTTAGTATTATTTGGATGCAGACGGATCCGACCCGATAACATCACCGCACCACCGTCATTTGAGGGAACGATTCCTTCCCCCCCCACCCCAATTGAACCACAGCCGAAGGCCGGTCCAACAATTGGTCCATTGGCAGCAACCGCCGCTCCGCTTGCAGCGCAAGAATGCCATCGGTGGAGAGTTGGATCGTGCCGGTACGATCGCGGCAGCCATGTCAACTGATGGGTCCCTCGCACTCGTAGGATGGGACCATTTGATCGTGTCCAATGGCGATAATGGCGGTGGAGAAGTGGTTTAGGTTACGATTGCGATGGGAGTGGATGGAGGATTACGAACCCTCCGACCGGTCTGTGCATGGTTGACCTTTACGTTCTAATCCCCACCTGACCTAATTTTGTCATCATCAGACAATAGATCTTGTTAAGCTTGTGGTGGCCATCCATGCAGGGAATCTCGTTGCAGTGATCACACACTACATATAAAAAGAGTCGTGAAAAGAAGATAGGGGATTGGATCTCTGAGATTATCGATGACTCTAAATCGTGAATCGTGCATAAGCATGCAATATATCTGTCTTACTCTCACACAGACAAGATTTAGTATACAAAGATAATTTGATGTGAAAACTTATACTTTCCTCTGTTTGGGGTGGAAAGACATATGTCCGCCTACCTGCGCAAGCTTAGAACAAGCAGTAGGATATGCTACCGTGTTTTCTATCTGCTAAGAGTGTTTTGCTCGCAGGGTTATTGTTCTTGCTTGCTGCTGCTAAAATTAGAGTAGCAGTGGCTAATTTCTTACTCCTTTCTTGCTGGGCGGGATGTCATAATCAATTGCCCATGCTTTAATGCCTTTATGCAACCGCCTCTGGTGCTGTTGCAGAACCCACACAGCGCCGCGCCTGCAGCAGATACAGAAGAAGAAGAAGGAAGAAGACAGAATACAGAGACAAGGAGACCTCTGTTGAATTCGATTATGACATGGGGCTTCAGCTTCCTGTGTTGGCAACATTTCCAAATGTCACGGCCAACCATGTCGTAGCGTAATCCAAAGAATCATCCATCAGCTACTTACTGACTGCATGTAATTACTCATCGGAGGAAAAATGACACCTTGTTTTGCCATACTCTTTGTCTTTTCAAATCTATGTATGTATTGCATAAAGATCATACGCAGTAAAAGCTAACAACAGTACACATTTCTTGACTGTGCATGCATCGCTTTAATATGCATTTATTCACGTTGAAAAGGATGGAACTGATTAAAAGCCAAGAAAGCCTGATGGGTTGAAGTAACTCTCTTCTCTTTCAAGCCAAACACATCCTTAGTTTCACCAAGAACGAAATATATTAAGCTGGGAGGACTTTACCATCACAAAAGAGGCAAGTACTTGTTTGAGGGGAAGATGAGGAAAGCTAGTACATGAGGTGTTAGCTTATCAGCGAGAAGGAAAGAGGGGAATACACCCTTGTTGGTTTTGTAAAAGGAGAGACTCGAAAGAGAGGAAAGCAAGCTTGTACATACCAAAATTCACAGAGAGAAGAGATCTAAACATCCCGCCTACACAGTGGACAAGAGGCATGCCTGATGACCCAGCTATCGATGCATGGCGAATGGAACATGTGGTGGCAGTGGGGCAACTTCCTCGCCATTTCTCCAATTTGTAAGTCCTGAGATGAAAGGTGAGGTGAATGGTAGCTGTGTGCAGCACAAGTTTCAGGAGCAGTAAAACCTACCTGCAGGCAGACCGAGCAGCAATTCTTCTCCCCTGCAGCGTCCTCACGGTCTTGGGTAGTAATTCTGAACTTGGGAATTCTGTCGATTGCATCCATGGGCAATCCTCTGATGCCTCCGGTCTCGAAGAAATCGAGACTCTCCATGAAGGGCAAACTGAGAGCACTCATCTGAGGACGTTCATCGTATATAAACCACATGGTAGGGGTAGTCTCAGTAGGTTTGAATCTCTGCGACTCAGGTAGAGAAACATACCTGACTCTGTACTGCACTCTGTACAGCTGGGCCAACCTTCTCCCGAACCAGTCTTCCGCTCAATAGGCTAGAGATTATGTCCATCTGTAGAACTCAAATTAGAACTCACTCGAATCAAGCATTCGGAGTTGCGCCACTAAAAGGTTGTGATATCACAGGCAATATCTGAAGCTCAGGCTTCAAAAGAATAGGGACAAGCGTTGGAGAATTACCACGTAGAGAACACTCCAAATCCCTGACTCCTGGGAGTTCCAGAGGTCAAGAGATGATTCAACTACTTCGATGGAGAAGACGGCACCAGAAATAGCTCCGATTCCAGCACCTCGCAGCAGGCCGCTCTCAGTCGCTAGGCCTATGGGAGCACCTGTGATGGCCCCGACCAATGAACCAACTGCACAACATGACAAGGAGAACCATTTGTTGGTATATCTCGTCTGTATGAAGCGGCAGGAGCTCAAGAACTCATACTTGGGAAGATCTACAAGCATATTTTAGATGATTCACGAAAAGAATAGGAATCGGCACGGGAACAGAGACAGTTATCCAGATAAAATTAAGCAATTCGGGTGGAAAATTGTAGGAATAATCAAGCAATTCATCACCCTCTCCATGTTATTTCTCACTAACGGAAAAGAAATATTCGCGGGATGAGAAAATTAGGGAGACATCCCTTCTGGAAACAATCAACACCGACAGCGGCAAACTGCAGAAACAGGAGGAGGCAAGAGAGGGTCAGAAGAGAAACAATCGACCTATCGCGAAGACACAGGTGACTACGGCGCAAAGCACTCTCCCAAACATCTGAAAGACCATGAAGCTGTATCCGTCACTCTCTCTGCCCTCGGAAGAAGAGAAGTGAGAAGAAGAAGAAGAAGAAGAGGAGTAGGAGGAGGTGGAAAGGAAATCCATGTCCTACTGTTGAGGAGTAGGTGGGATGGGCTGTGGACGTGAGGGTAATATATACAGAGAGAGAGAGGGAGACATACATGAGAGAGGTGCTTAAATGTTGAGAGTGAGGGAGCGAATGAAGAGCAGAACCGACCCCCATGCACGAAATGTATTTGACCTTATGAATGTATTTTCGCAAGCCTACGTTGTCCTACCTACGCCGGAGGTTAAAGAAGCTTCCCCGGTTCCTTTTCACTGGTTCTCTGTGGTGATGGTTGCAAGAAAATGACTCGCAGCAAGAAAACCACGGATGTGCAATGAGTACCAGTGAAGTGCTCAACAAGCACTTTCTCTTTGAGTTCACGGAGACATGCCAACTAATGCTCCTCCTCCTCCTCCTCGAATCACACAAGAATGGACTGAAACTGACCCGAGAGATCATGGGCGTGGAATTGACTTGTGGCTCAAGATATGGGCGTGAACTTGTATTGTATGTAATCTGAGACAAATGAATGTGTACCTCCGTCCTTCATGAGGTGGCCCATTTAGTAGCACTCAGAATTAGCAGTGCCCTAAATATCGTGAGGATAATAAATGAGACAGCTCATGCAGGGCAGAATTCAGTACGAGCATTCGCGGTTGGGAAAACGTCGTCTGCAGCTTCTTCAATTTTGAAGTAGGAGGTCGAGTGAAAGAGAAGACACGAAATGCCCTCCGCTTGCTCTGTATTGTGGATGACCGCAGGTACTACCACAAGGAATTGAAAGAGGGCGGCCGACAAGATGATTAATCTGCGCTCACGACATTACGAGCAAGAGAGCAAATGGGGTGTCCTCGGTCAACGTTCTTCGTGACCATGCAACAGACTGCATCAAGAAGAAGCTTAGATTAGGGTGCTGTCGGTCATGAGCGGCCGGCCGGTGTTATCCCCCAGCACCACTCTTGCAGATGGTGTGGTTATGTCTCTAAGCCATCGTTTAACTCATCCCACATCCATCCACAACACAAAAATATTTATTTACCTGTTGGATTGGTCATCAAGTTTTTTAGTTGGATAGTGCGTGGAGACGAAGGCAGTGGTCAAATAATGAAAGGGGTGAAGTAGATGCTACCATGCTAATGGAAAGCTTGGAAGGAAGCTTATCTGCAGAGTGTATAGTGTAGGACTTGGCCGTGGAACAAGGAAGAGGTGAGTGCTACCAAACGGTTCGGTAGCAGATCACACACATCACTCTACTACTACGGAGTGATGTTATTATTATGAATGTTACGTAAACGTTAAGCAAAGAGAGAAGAAAGTTATGGAGAAGTAAAAGAAGGTAGAAAACGAGGAGGAAGAGAAGACCGGTAGCTTTAATAGATTAAGGAAATGGAATTAGGAAAAGTGAAGGGTGAAGGATAGTTTTTTGCACCAAGCGAGGCCTTTGTTTCCCTTTCCTTCCTTCTTCGGTGTGTTAGCAATAGAAATTAAATTGTTCTTAGAATTATGTTACTTGGAATATAAAACATTCAAGTATAGAAAAAATCAAATGTTCTATAAATATTTTATATATCTCAAGTTTTGATTAAAAAATACGAAGAAAATATATTTTGACTACTCATATGTGTTCTTTAATATATCTATAGGAATCGAAGAATCGATTCGGAGAGTCTCATTATTTTTTTATATAGTAAAAAATTTAAAAAATATAAATATAAATAAGGAGCGTCGAATCGCATCGAGTTTTATACTCAATATTTTCTCGGGCTGTATCTTACTATTATTGATTCTTTGGATTATTGATCTTCTTCTGGACGTATTTTTTTCGTCTCGACCATCTGTTTAACCTCTTAAATATATTCATCCTCGAAGAATTCAGATTGTAATGTTTTGAAGGAGAAGAACAGGATGGGTTTTTTAACCGCAATGTTTTGATTAAATAGATTTGCTTTTTACTTGAAAAAATATATAGAATTAGTGTTGTATGTATGTATGTATGTGTTGGGACTCCCTATCACGATTATTTATGATGACAGAAAATATAATTCAACTGAAAATGAGAATTGCACACTGGAGAGAAACGATTTGTTTGTCGGTCAACTCCGACGACATGTTCATGTTTCCAAGGCGTGGCTTCTGATGCTCTCCGGTTCTGATACTCTTCTCAGCTTTCGGTGTCACATATAACGACGGAACCAAACCTGAATAGAATATGAAACCAGCGGTGCACGGCGTTTTGGTGGCGGCAAATCTTTCGTCCGATGAAGCTTTCTATTGCAGGAGTCAAATCAGCAGATCAAATGCCAAGGAAATAGCAAATCAACAAAGCGATGAGTCCCCTTCATCCATCGCACATCTCGGCAACTCTCCTCGTGGTCCACTGACATCGCATCGCCTTTCCCTGTCACTGCCATCACTGAGCAAGCTCCGGATGCCGCTGATGCCTGGGACCTCAGCTACTTCAATGTCGTCTTCTTTTCTAGGGTTGCGCATGTGACTCGTGACAGGGATATAATAGTGGGGTGGTTGAAATCTACTGATTGGCATTGATGATCATGTTTGCTGAAGTTAAGAATATGGGATCGGCATGTGGAGAAGACTAGAAGATGGGGTCAGTCTTCGTACCGAAAGCCGCTTTCGAATAATGGAAAACCTCTTTCCTTGCAGCAAGGGGCAAGCCTGCCTGCTCTGCCGATTGCCCTCCCGCAGCAGCCTTCATTGCCAACCCAAACACTGATAACCAAATAGGATCCTTTAAGTTACTGTGTTTGTCCTGCTGTGTTGGTGCCACAGTAGCGTTACACAGTCATGGGTGCAGTACGAGTAGGACGGCAAGGCAACGAGATCTTGTCGAGGTGACCGGAGAGTTCTTGAAGCCAATGCAGGGAGACCAGCACGGTGACATTATTCAGAACAGGTGGACCGACTGTATTCTGGGATGGATTCTCGTGATCTAAGCTCTAAATAGGTTGGCCTCACACCGACGAGGGAATTATGGAAGAACTGTTTATGTAGCGTAAGCCAACAGTGTCATGGATCAATGAAGGAGACAACTACTCTGTTCTTGCTCTGTGAGTCGAAGAAACCTGGATTCAATTCTGCAAATCATATTTAACCGAAACACCATTATTTGCTTACCAGATATACACACTTTTACTTTGGGATGGATCCCTTGCTTTCTCCAGAATCATATGTGACCTTCCAATTCTTCATAATTGATTCTACCATCAAGGCATAAGCATACATGTAGGGTGATACTGTACAAGATGTGACATGGCATTTCTCCGTTCATCTCTAGTACTGTACCTGGAACACCGCTTGTCTTCATTGTCTGGCTTGTGGCGATGCATGGTAGCAGTCATGAATCCAATGCAGTCAATACTCGCACTCTTTGTCCACATCTGATTGTGACAGGAAAACGAATGTAGGTTAAGGAAAACTACTTTGCAACCTTACTGCATCCATAAGTTGCTTGATTTCAGCTTCAGACAGCCTGATCCCAGACTTCTCGATCCAGTGTTTAGTTCCTCGAAGGTAATGGTATCGCTACTACGATCAGTATCCATGTTCTCGAACATATGTTGCACTCCCTTAATCTACTCTTCTGCAAGATTCTCTGCAATAACCTTCTTCATCAGTCAAGAAGAAAGCTTAGTTCAGAACTGCGCAAGTTTGGCCTTATCCAGGTTAGGGAGCTTGACGGCGTCGGAGGAGATGGGAACTTCATGGATTTCAGTGAGACAACATTCAATTAAAGGTTGGACTTCTTCTCCTCGTGCCACCATCGACCCTGTTCTTTTGGCTTGTGCTCGGTGGGATGTTGATGGGTCTCAAAGAGTATTCTGCTACTTTCCTCTTTTCTTTATGCTCCTCCTGCTGTCTGCGAACCGTAGGAAAAAGCTTTTGCTAAAGGTGGTTTAAATGGAAGGTATCTTCGAACCTGGGGTAAGAAGATGCAAAGTATGTTGTCAGATAAGGCAAAGGGATGCATGCTCTGTGAACAAACATGCGCGCATTAACCTAATTAAATTGATTATTATCTGTGAACAAGTTTGGTGCAGAGGAACTTCAGCTTACCATGTTAGGGAACTAAGAGATAACTTCATTGCTTCATTACTTTTTATTCAGTACTCGAATTCATTGCTTCACGATCAGAAGGAAAACCACTGCAGATGGCAGGCCGGGAAGCCAATCGAAATTGGAAATGGCACCTACACAGAATACAAAAAAAATTGCCATTTTTTAATGTTATTGTGCTTCACAAACACATCTCTACTTGATTTAATGCGTAAAATGAGGCTGTGAGAAGCTCACAAGAGGGCTCAGTCCTGAGCTATCGATTTGCTTCTCATCGGTGAAACAAGATGGCCTATACCTCGTATGCAAGAAGATGAATATAACAGGATCTCTTGCAAGCTCAAATAATAAGAGTGCATCGGTGTCCTCAATGTCTCCTTGACCATCTTGACATTTTAAAGAAAGGTTGCTGGGTTTCTGAAAGTTCTATAAAGAAGATAGAATGCATCAAATCCAAATAAGCGCATCAGCTATGGCCCGTCATGTCGAGCATCTCATCAAGACCCTTCAATCTCTGCAAGCCTTCGCTAATTAGGAAGCGAATTTTCTGCTTATCATCGCAATACCGGTTCTTCTCTATCTCCTGCCTCATAGTTTGTCTCAGCTCATCTGCCGGTATCATCGATTCTTCAACTGTTGCCAATTTATCATAGAAAAGAAGAGCAGAGAGTAAAAAAAAAAAAAAGTTACTGATTAACCTCTTGCATGAGTAGGTGCCCGACGGGCAGTTCTCAATGCCTGCCTATAAAGCTTCAGTACACGAGCACGAACTATGAAGCCCTGCAGATCTAAATACCGAACCATAGTAGATTCACTGCAAAGGTATAAAAATCATGTCATTTCACTGAAGATCTAAAAGAAGAAAGTGTGCATATCAAATTTCAGGTCCACTGAAAAGATAAATATCATCTGTCATGATATCTCTTAAAGTTCATTTTAAGACGATTCTCCCCACTGGTTTGCATGTTAAAACTAATGTGTACAACTATAGATTAGTGAACTTGTGGCTGATAGAATGTAGTTATGAGAAAACCAGGTACCTGAAGCAATGCTGGAAACCAGCTCGAATCAGAACCAATAGGAATGTGTCATGATACCATCATCGACAATCATTTAACAGTGGCACAAACATATTGGAATCTTCTGATTCCTTTTGGGAAAGCTACAGTGTTCTTAGGATGAACATGTTGTTGCTATCAGTAACATAAGTGTATAGGCAATGTCAGGTTTTGGTAATAAGATATGCAAGATCAGAAAGGAAACGACTCGGCGTTCAGTTGGTCATGATCGGAAGATGCATAAATAAGAAAATGAACTAAAACTCAATCAAATAGCCAATAAAGATTACCTAATTTATTTGAAAAAAATACAAAAAAAGAAAATTTCAGTTCTGTGTATGATCTTAAGTTGGAATCTGATTCGTAGTGTACTTCTCACAATCTGCAACAGACTCATAAATGTCAACAATCAAGAGTCCCAAGGGAAAAACTAATAGTTACTGGGAGTACAACTCTGTTAAATCATTTGGGTAGCATGCACCACCAAGACACACTTCCAAGCAAACACTTGGAAGCCTGTGTTTCTATGTGAAATCGCTTCATCAAGAATCCCATCATTCTTTAAGGATATTTCTGATTGGCAAAAGTTAGAAACTTGCCATTCACTAAGTTTGAAAAATTCGCAATAACTCCCGGCACTCCATAGTGAATCATACGGAACTTTCCTACGAACATCACAACCAGAATGATGGTGTTTGTGAACATTGGTCATCGATGCACAGTTACTACAAATGCCTAGCTAGAGACCTCATCAAAGATAAGCGCTGACGAAGACACCAAATTTATGTCTAGCTACATCGGAACAAGCACCACTACGGCAATTCGACAAACACCTCGAGTGCTAACAGAGAGAGCAGCATCTCTAAAGTTGAAAACAAATCCAAACAGGACGTGTTTTGCACGAGGAGGACAGTATCCAGTCGACAAATCAGCAATGTTGATGCAAGAGCACAAGAAATCAACCACACCGAACCGAGGATAAGATGAAAAATCCGCAGCGACGATCAGATTTACGACTATATAGTGTAAAAGCATGATACAACCGTTTGTTTGGTGCAGAAAGAATTGACATGAGAACATACGCAGAGACGGAGTCGAAGTAAAGTGGCGGCTGATTCGGGAGATACAAAGAAGTCCTTCCAACAGTGAAGCACGCACGAGCTTAGACCATTCGGCTTTAAAGGAGGCAAAGCATCTCTAAAGAGACACCTCGTTGGTCAAAGCCCGAAGACTTCGAATCGCCTGGTTAGATTCCAGTGAGCATGATCTTGATATTGGAGTGGACTAAGAACATCAGATGAACTCGATCATAACCTGACACACACAATCGACGTCAACGGAGAGTTTGGAGTAGGGAGCTTATTAGCCAAACCAGTTATTTTTTAGTATTTCAGTCATTACACAAGTTAGATCCATTTATCATAACGATCTCAGTTTTATTGACAGATATATAAAAATAAAAAAATAAAAATATGATTTTAACGTTCGATAATAAATGACGATGCTATTAGCGTTGTGCAACTATATCTCTTTTCCGAGAGCTTAATTCTAACATATATCTCTTTTTTGATATCGGAGTAGGTCGCAAGTGTCCAACCGTTACAAGCATCTTTAGCACCTTAAAGATCAGCTATAGGAGATCGAAATCCAAGTCGATCGATCGGAGGTTGCTGTCTCAAATTTAAGTATTGATACCTCGTGTTAGTGAACCTGTACACTGTAGCTGAGGAGTCGATATGGTTCGGTCCAGTCCCAGATGCGCAAGGTCAATCGCGTTAGTACTTGAGTGGGGGAAGTCGATTGGGTTGAGCTTTGAGCCTTGCTTCTGGGGCGTGGGGTTCCCCTTTAATCAGTCGTCTCCTTCCTTATTGTCGGCTCCTGTACACAAGTCGAGGTCGGGAGGGAGATTTCCCAACTCGATTCTTCCAAATATTTTGTTAGAACTTAGTGAAAAATGAGTCCAAAAGGAGAAAAAACCTCTCCTGACGTCGGCCCGACGATGAATTTTTATACCCTGCGCTTGGGGACTAGTAGTACTTGACATATTCATAGTTGTCGACCCATCAAGCGGTGAGCTTACTTCTCGCCCGGATATTAGGTACCCTTCATGTTATGGTGTCAAATAGCGGTATCGTACTCGATTGACGTCGTTTCGATGTTTGCGGAGCAGCGATGTGCTCGGTCGGCATCGTCCCGATCTTTGCGGGGCGACGCGGTACTTGGACGACGTTGTCCCGATCTTTGCGGGGCGATGTTGTACCCGATCGATATCGTCCCAATCTTTGTGGGCGGCACGGTACTCGAGCGGTGTCGTCCCGATCCTTGTAGGGTGGCATCGTACTCGAGGGGCATGATGTCAACGTGATATGCTATATTGAGCTTAATGCTGATATGACTGTGATCGGTTGTTAGAGGGTAGTCGGAATCCAAGGTCGGGAAGTTTGTGTTTGTTAGAGGGTAGTTAGAGGGTTGTTAGGGTGGCATGGTACTCGAGGGGCATGATGTCAACTGTGTCCTATCCCCTCGGAAGAACTCAAATGGCACGATGTATTTGATATATGGGAAGTCGGAATCCAAGGTCGGGATACTGTAAGAAACATAGGTTTCATCTCTGAGAAGTCAACAGAACATGTCTCAGGTGGGTTCCCATCTTAGTTCCAATTCCCGTAACCACAGGGAATTATTGCTTCCCCCATGTGATGGAGCCTCTCTCCACTGTGGGTAGGGGCTGCTACTCCCCGCAACTATTGCTTCCCCCATGTGATGGAGCAGGTGGCGTGCACACCATGGAATCATCTTTGGCCCCTCACGACGGTCAAGTAACCACAAGCCTCCTTGTTGTGCTACCTGAGATCAAGGAAATGAATAGTATGGACCTTTCGAGCAACACCTATTGGTTAGAAAAGAGACCGATCCATCTGACATCTCTTGGCTCGCAAATTTCCCCGAAGCCAATAATTCGGCTCTTCTGCGTGAGGTGAGACCACTTTGCATGTTTTCTCATTGCAACATCAATTACATTGCATTAGACTAAGACATTTGATTTCTTTGTTTGCCACCTAAACAAAGATGTAGCAGCACGCTCCGCCTCCATATAGCCCGGAGAAGTCTCCTTCGCCAGAAGCAGAGATGGAAATGGAGCCCGAGGTCACAAAGCTCTCTGGAAGTGCTTCTGCAGAAGAGGCCGTGGAGGAGCTTCACGGTGGGAGAGTTCTCTCCGCTGAAGAAGGTGATGGAGCAGTTCGCTTGAAGATTGTAGTGAGCAAGCAAGAACTCCGGCCGATGGTCGCGTCGCTGAGCCACCGCGATCACCGCCGCAGCAGAGCTTCGAGCAGTCGCTGCATGTGCTCCACCGGCGGCACATGAAGAGAGCTGAGAGCCGAAAGGGCGGGCGTGGGTGGCTGCCTGCTCTCAGAAGCATCCCAGAGGAGGATTGAAGTTTGTGTTTCATTTCTCCGTCTTCTCCAAGCCTGTATTCTCTCATGGGCTACTCTACGTATAGATTCCTGATCATTTATAGTCCAATTCGACACTCAATTCCCTTTGTGACCCATTTGACCAACACAAAGAGACCATATATCACAGTAGTGTAAATCCCCTCAAAAATAGCTATTGAAGCGCAAGCGCCTGTGCACGACTTCTAAAGCATGGCCAAGAACATGCTCTTTGGATTCCTTTACGCTCGGACGGTTAGGATCGTCTCGACGTCTCTCTTTAAGATAAGCGCTGAACAGTCCGCATCCTATGCCAATTCAAAAGGTTGCGCTGCGTCGTGATGCGGAGGTACACGCTTCGAGCATCAGCATCATTGATGATAAGCAAATCGCAGAGCTCCTGTGCCCAAAAGGTTAGACGAGGACTCGCCACCAACACCAGAAGCGTCTCCACTGACGCCCACTCAACTCGACCAACTCCCGAAGTAAAAGCGAGAACCGCAACACTCCATTCCTTGCTTAAAAGTAATGTCTTCCTCCGTCAGTACCTCCTGTCTTTCTGCTATATTGTGTGGAGAAGCTTCTGCTCCTCCTCCTTGAGAAGTTTACCATCTCAAGCATCCGGTGTTGGAAGAGAAAGTGGGTGAGAGGAACAGAGATCGCCAGGAAATGAAGGACCTCGGGGACCTGCTCCACCTGTTCGCCTGCGCCTTCCTCTTCCACTTCTCTGCGTTCATGGTGATCCCCGCCATCACCGACGTCACCATCGAGGCGCTGTGCCCCGGCCGGGACCAGTGCTCGCTCGCCATCTACCTCAGCGGCATCAACCAGGCCGTAAGCTCCGTTCGCCGTTACTCTTTCTTCTCTTCTTTCTTCCGACGAGTAACGTTCTCTCTTCCTCTTTATGCTTACCGTTAAAGTGTGGAATTGGATGCTCCGTTTTCTTCTCCTTTAATTTCTCATCGTTTTGTGAAGTGCAGCTACTTGGAAGTTGTCTCGGTCATAAGAAAAATGAAATGGAGCTGATAGAAACAGAGCCTTGTTTTGTTTTCGTTAATATTGGGGTCCCGACACCAAGCAGTGAGTGACGACAGATAATATGCATCCAAAAACTTTGTTGTCTTCCCCTGAGAGCCATATGCATGTCATTCTCACCGGAGATTACAGTCCGTATGGTGGCTCCTCTGTCTTCCGTTAAAGCATTATTATCTTTAACGTTCTTCCTCGGTCGTGTTTCGTGGAATATGTTCGCTGCCCGGAAAAGGTGGGGTTGGGTCTGCGACTCAGTTAAGCCGGGAGATTCTGTTTGCTTCCTTGCTGCATTGCGTGTCTCCACTGTCTTTACCTCTCTTTGAGTAACTCCATTGCTGTGTCTCTATCAAAGATTTTTAACACAGTCGATTGGTGGAGAGAGCACTTTGTTCTATGCTTGTCAGTAAAGCACTCACCAGAGCGTGAAACATGATTTTGGTCTTCGACCCCCTGTTGAGATTAAAATCATACAGTGTCTTCACTGCTATGTGATGCTTTTGTGACCGGTGGTCGAAGCACCTAATCGACTTTCTTCAACCCATTTCTTGCAGATCACAGGACTGGGAACTCTTGTTGTGACTCCTCTGGTTGGCAATCTCTCGGACAAATATGGTCGAAAGGCTCTGCTTACCCTGCCGATGACCTCTGCAATTGTTCCATTGGGTACGTTCACCTATCTCATAAACTGCTATCAGTTTCTTCCTGTTCCTTCACTGATAACTCTTGAATCGAGTTTGGAATGGGTTCACTGCTATCAGTTTCTTCTTCGATACTTTCTTTCTACAGAACTCAAATTCATGAGTTTTCGACCAATCATCGACTCTATTTTTCACTAAATCGATACATGGATGTCTCCAAAATCACATTTGGAATTCTTTCTGTCGAAAGCTTCCGGATATAGAACGAGAGGACTTGCTAGATAAATGGGAAATGGTTGTAGGTGTTAGATATTGATGTGTCAAGGTGGAAAGTACACCGTATCTCGCTGATCACTATCTTCAACCTAATGAATTCACCTTACCACCATCCTTCCCAAGCAGAGGTGGAAGGCACCGAGAGCTAACCATGCCTTCCACCAGTCACTAATCAGCACAGATTCCAGTCCTACAAAAGAAGACTCAAGGACGAGAGAAAAGAAAAGAGAGAAGAGGAAGATGGGCCACTTGGGTACCAAAACCCATTCACTCCACCCCCTGCTCCTTCATATGCTTCAATAAACAATGGACCAGCCACCATCTCTTGCCCCTTGCACTTCTACCGGGATGTGCTATTTCTGCAATCCGAATCGACAAAGTCGGGATCGTGATGATCTGCCACAAACACATATGGAGCCTACTTCCCAGGGAAGCTGGGCCATGCGTGCCTTCTCTTTCTCTTCCTCCTTTTTCCCTCTTTTTTGTTCTTTATGTGTAAAATCTTTAATCCTTGCTCCTTCTTCTTGTCTGCAATAGACAACTAAACATGCTCAGAATGGTCGCTACGCACTCACTTCAGCTTTCATTGGTTCGTCTACATGCATCCCACTCCCATTCTGCCATTGCTTCGTTTAAAGCTTCTAAAGTAAACGATCAGATGTGTTGCACTCCTTTAATTGTTAATCAATTCGTTAAGCTTTATCAATTAGCAGCCCTGAATAGTTCCTGAACCACACAACTCACGTGGGGTAAACTTCACAGCCTTTAGTTATCTTTAGTATTTTAATTCTTATATTTTAAAAATTATATTAAGATTCGTATAATTATGAAAATAAAATATTAAAATTTCTATATTAAGAGTTAAAGAAACAAAAAAAAATTGTCGGAGGTTTCACTTTCCTAAATATAAAGATGTCATCGTTACTTTTAAAAATATAAAACTCAAAATACATATGTAATTAGCTGATAATCTTAATATG